GTGAGTGAGTGAGTGCGTGTGAGTGCGTGGGTGAGTGCGTGGGTGAGTGAGTGGGTGAGTGAGTGGAGAGTGAGTGAGTGTGTGAGTAAGAGTGGGTGAGAGTGAGAGGGAGCGTGAGTGTGAGTGTGAGTAAGAGTGGGAGAGTGAGTGCGAGTGAGAGCTTGTGAGAGTGGGAGTGAGTGTATCCCCTCCATCAACCGACTTTAAAAAAATCGGATAGGTCACGCCATCCCTTGTTGTGCTATGAATGCTGAGGAGCGCAAGCGCCGCAAGACCTGGGGCCACGGGCCACCGAGACTCGCTTCGCTCAAAACGCGCAGAGTCGGTCAGTTCAACGAAGTCTTAAGCGCTTCGCTTGGGAAAGCCCCGACAGGTTGGGCCCGAGAAGTTGGAACGTGCCTGGACTCATTCAGACTTGGGAGTGGCTTGGGCCACTCCCAGACCTAGACTTGAAGTCAGCCCAGAAGACCACTCTTTGACCGAAAGATTGGGATGATCAATGATGATCAATTCTGCTGCCATGGTCAAAAAGGAGTTGTTCTCTAAAAAGCCTTGGACTTGGAATGAGTGGCATGAGTTGTCCCCCAAATCTGCCGATGTGCCACCTTTCATCACCTTTCTCTGTTTTTCCCTTGAGAAGTTATGTACTATGTACTAGTACATATATGATTCTGATGATGTCTATTCAATTGGAATCTCCAAATCTCCTGATCAATGACTCCGACTTCGTCACGACACCGCTGCTGTCTGGCCTCCGGCACCGGCACCGCCGCAAAGGCGCGGCGTCCCACGGGGAAGCGGCGTCCCGCCGCAGCGGCACCCACGACATGGGGAGCCAACATCAGCCATGGGGGGGCGAGCACAGGCGTTGCATGTCGACTCTCGAAAGACTGGGCGTTGCAGCGTTGGGCTGTGTGTCCCCATTTTTGTGTGGCAACGGCAAATTGGCAAAGGTTCAGGAAATCCTCTGTTTGGGTGGGGAAACCTCAGGATCCTCGCGCAATCTTTCCCGGAGAGACACATGGTATAGTATGTGGTTGTCTGTTCTGCACTTAGCAACTCCAATCTAATCTATATAATACACATGTGACAAAAGACTAAAAACACGCTCTGAACACCAGGGTCATTGGGGAGATTTGGGATGTAGATCTTTTGGAAATCGTCGTTTGGCTGTCTGTCAGGCTGCCAGATTGGAATTCTTCCGATCTCGTGCGAGCGATCTGCAGCTACCACCAACAGCAGCTTCCACCGCCCTTCCCCAGAGGGCGGACCTTCTCAGGGGCTTGATCTTCCTCTCCAAGTGAAGGAACTTTGTTGATCAGGAAGGGGCATGTTTTGTCCAAATTCTAGCCGACTGCGTTGGCGTTCCAAGATTCAACATGTGCTCCGTAATCCCCCTTTTCGCGCGGTTTACCGCTCTTCGTGATCAAGCGCTCTTCGGCTTCGGCTGTCCGTTCGGTCGCGGACCCACGCGGTCTTTGTTCGGACGGGGCGCCGACACACCGCGGACCCAGGGTTGCATGACGATACCAGGGTCGCGCGCATGGAGGAAGAACTCTCATCTGGTCGGTGGGAACCAAGCAACCAATATGTTTTTACTGGATGATGAACCTCTTTCCCTCCCACTCTTGTTACACTACACATTTACTACGCATGCACTACACATTCACTACACCACTACGCATAGGCTAGGCATTCTACAGTCCAATCCCCCACCATCCTCCAAACACAACACCCTCCGCCTTCTCGAGCCTCACCTTTGAGCCTCTGCAGCACCATGTCCCGCACTGCAGGACCTCAGCGGACGCGACTTCGGGTGGCCGCGCCAGCGCGTCCGCAAGACAGATGTTCCAAACGTTCTGCAAAAACAAGAAATGCGGAAAACACCGAAGTCCGGGCCCTGTCGGAGTTCTTCAAGTAACCCTGAGGGAGCTGCCATGAAGCTGGAGTTCCATTGGTTCGGTAACCAGTCACAAGGCCAACCTGCCTGCGGATCAAGTCATGTTTGGGGTCAACCGCTGGCGTTTTTGGAATCCAAGTGCTTGGCACCCAGCTTGTGAAGTGACCTGCCCCGGTAAACGTCTGGGTGGGTGAAACTCCGAACCTGATACACACGAGGTAGTGAGGGGTCACGAGCCAGCAAGCTTTGGAAGCACACGGGCTCAACACGCCAGTCACAGGGGAAGGTACCTCAGCCTCAATCAACACCATCTGAAGGCTACGAGTATCATGCACCCTGAGGGGTTCATGCACATTGTCAATCTGGTGGCATGATGCCACCAGGTTGGAAAGTTGCTGGGTGCCAGAAAAAAAAATATATATATATTACTATATATATATACGACTTACTTAATATTGATTTTTAGTTAAACTGATTCTATATTTTGTGTGAATATGTTCTCACCCGCAAACCTGCCTTTGCTCTTCTAGGTTTTTTGTATGCTTCTACTGTCACATGGACACAGACACTTGTAGCGCAGACGATGGACGCAAACACTTGCAGCACAGATGGTGGAGGCAGCAGGTTTGCCTTTTTGGTGTTTTGTAGGTGTTTTGTACGGGTAAGTATGTTGAACTTGTCATATTCAAATAGATACAGACACTTGTGGGGCAGATGATGGACACAGACCCTTGTAGCACGGATGATTGACGCAGAGACTTGTAGCACAGATGGTGGAGGCAGGCACTTGTGCAGCAAAGATTTAAAGATGTAGCCCAATGTAAGCTGCACGCGTAAAAAACAGTAGACGTAGTAAGTTTGACAAGCCGAGACCTGTTTCCATCAATGCCCCAGTTTTCTTGCACGAAACCAGCTACAATTTTGACAGGAACCATTGAACAAAAGACTCTGTGTCTGCTCAAAGACCTTGGTAGTCACACTGGGCTGAGCGCAGCTTGAGACGCAACAAACGACTACATGCTTTAGAGCCACCCATTTCTGCTTGCCACCAAAGGTGATCCGCTTCTCTTTGCGTACCACACGATCATGTACCAGAGACATTTTGACTGCATATAGCTCTTGGTTGAACCCGTATGCCATATGTTACGGCGGTCAGCAATTCATTCGCAACACTCCACTATGGCTCCAGGACCGGTAAGCGCGCCGAACATTGACTCGGCGAACGAGGCGGTGAAGCACTCGTGTTGAACAAGGGCGCCCCCGTTGAAGGACGCCACTCCGCTGTTCTCAGCTTCATCCGCTTCCACCTCTGCCCACTGCGCGTTACCGAAGATGATGCCCTTGTCCTTGTGGGTTGACCCAAGCTTCCCTCAAGGGACTCAATCTTTTGAATGGATTTGTTGTGTCTCACCTGCACCGGACGATGCACGGTTGAGGAGGAGTAGAAGCATTGCTGCTTGGGGTGGAATCGAACCAGCTCCAGAATCTTCCAGGAAGACAGAGTGGGCATGATGGAGATTGATGTCATTCTTGGCGCTGCACCTTTGGGAACCTAGGTTCCCAGAGTTCTGGTGTGGCACCTAGGACATGTAGTCCCTTCCCCGGGTTGCAACGGGCCATCTTCACGAAGCAACGCTTTCAAAGCAGCTGGCTCTGATGTCATAGACCTTTTCCATTTGGCACGATCTTCTCGAAGAGCAGGGAGCGCATCAGAGTCTCGGACATAAGGGATTGGCGTTCATTCCTTTGTCTTGACTGAAGCAGGCCTCTTGCGGACGGAGCACAGCTCGAGCCCAGGGAAGTGGTTGAACTTGGGCGCCATGAGCAGACTTCTACCTGATAATGACATATACCAAGAAAGCCTGCAGATGTAACAATGCAATGCTAGAACACAAAGTAATTGACAGCAACTGCAGATGTAACAATGCCAAAGCCGAAGTGATCACTCAGCATGTCCAAATCCAAAGTGAGTACTCAGCATTTAAAAACAGGAGTGGAGTGCTCAGAAGACACGGAAAGCTGCAGGAGCAAAGCAAGCGTATGTTGTGGACCCCTACCATATATGTAAATGTTCAGAAACACATGTCTAATGCCCAAATTGTACAAAGGCAGCGCCACCTACTCAGAAAGCAAGCCCCTTTGAAATGCAGCCTCCTCATCAGCATCCATGTCGTTCTGCGAAGCTGTTCCGGGAAGGGGGCGCACAATACATGGGTGGAGGAAGGACCTGAGAGCTTTCATCCTGAGTTTCTTGGGAAGAGGGTAGCCATGTTTCAGGCACGTTGCTGGCACGAATGTTGAAGAGGCACTCCTGCAACTCCTCGTGGATGTCAAGCAAATACTGGCACGAATGTGGAGTAGCTGTAGCGCAGCGGTTCATACTGTCACCAATCATGCTTTGTGTTTGGACCACGGACTCATCTTAATGTTCTGGTTTGTCTAAGTTGGAGCCGCTCTTGTACATAGAAGAGCTTATCACCTTGAGTCAGGACATCTTCGTGCTTCTCGGGTCGCAAATTGGTCACCGTTTTGGCATCGAATCCACTCCGAGCGTGGCGGTCAAAACGAGGAGACCGACCGGTTGACCACCGAGTCTATGAACAGAATACCCGTCTGAGACATGGTCACCAGGGAAATTCGGGCTCCAGATTTGGACCCACGGCCAAAAGACTGCAACCCTGAGCCCCAAACCCTGGTAGGTTGACTTCACAGGTAGTCGATTGTGTTCATTCGCAATGGGAAAGACCAAAATCCCCAGGTGCGATGACCCACTGCCATATCCACTCAAAGTCTCCATGCCGTGTGCCCCCAACCTCCCCTTCGCCTGGGTCTCCCGGCTGCTGGCTGCCAGCTCCACCACCCGCTGAGCGGGCCGACTCGTCACCGTCGGCAAGGCCGCCTTCTCGACGGCGGCACCCGGATCGATGGCCCGAAACGAAGAAACCTGTTGTCCAAATGGGTTGTGTTTCTACGAAAAGTATGGAAAACGAAATGTATACATATAATTACATATATACTGTATGTTATATGGTTCATGAACCATTTGGAAGTATCTTCCAACCCGACGAAGTCTTAAAAAGCAACACGTCCTGTCACGTCACCGGTCATGTTTCGCCGTTCTTTTGGCTCGGACATGGTGTCTTTTCAACCAAAGAACGAGGCTGTTGAAAGAAGAAACCAAGACAAGTGAGGGATGGGGCAGTGATTGGCTATGTTGGCTGTGGCTTGAATTTGCTGGACTTGGGAGAAGGAAAACACACCTGCATCAGAACCCTTGGCTCAAATCCCAGCAACTATAGCAAAACCTCCAACAATCGCAGAGAAGCTGGCAAGAGCGTCCCTACAACGCGGCTCGCAGCATAAATGCCCGTGCTCTTTTCCGCTAGAAAACCTCTCACAAAACTCCAAGTGCTTGGAATTGAGGTGGCCAACTTGAAGGGCCAGCCTGCCGTACAAATCCAATTCTTTCACCTAACTGTTAACTTTTGACGACTCACCCTGATCAATGATTTGGTGTAAGCCTTGATCCATCAATTCAACATGTATGAATATGCCGTCGTGTCGGTCCAAAGTTGACGGCACATTCAATACCTCAGATTCGGTCCGGGGTGCTCTATGGGGCTTTCTATACCCTCAAAAGGACATTCCACAGAATAGAGATTCTGCAAACCTGGAGTTCATTCGTGTTGCGTTTTTCTGGATACATCCCACATGTCTTCTTCCCTTTGTTGTCCAATATTCCAACAGCTGCTCGGTCATGCCAGCATGTGTGTGTGTGTGACTGGTCTTAATGAGGGGCATCATCTTTAAAATGCAGGCTGTGGTGTCAGGGCACCTCGAGCCCAGATTGAGCCCAGTCAGTTGACCTCCCTGGTCGTTCGTCGTCCCTGTTCACGTTCGCTAAAAAAAAAACCACCGGTCAGTCTCACTTAGGATCTCCCGTCGAAAAACTCGCTCTGTGTTCTGTTTCCCCCTGCTTAATCGTTCGTAGTGATGATGTTTAGAAAGACCGAACTCCTGTGCGTGGGGAGGGTCACAGCCCTGGAGGTTCCCTGTCGTGTACTCCAATGCAGCCTCCAGTTTGCAGCTTCCAGGGTGCAGCCCCCCAGCCTCTGGATCGATCGCATCAAGGGTCGGCACCTCTGTCTGGACTTCCACATGAAAAAGCCCACCTCAGACGTGAAACCGTGAAACAGACTGGGAAGTAGAGACTTAAGATGGTTCTGTTGGCACTGCCATTGGGACAGGGGATCATCTACGCACACAGATCAGGATCATCTATGCACGAACCCCTGTCCCTGCCATTGTATAACCAGTTTCTCACCTGTTTCAACCAAAATGGTCCCGCGCTGTTCCACCATCGCTGTTCCACCGTGTTCCACCTGCGCTGGACACCGGTCTAGGACACCGCACGGTCGGTCGGTCGCCTGTGGACGTGGACGCTTCCGTGCGTGCGGCCGCACGCTTCCGTCCATGTGCGTGGTGTGGTGCGTTTGGCGTTTGCGCTTTGGTGAAAAATGCCACAAGTGGAAGTGTAGCAACAGAATGGATGATTTGGTGAGTCTTCTTCTTGTAGTATAAGAATCTAATCCTTTTGTATTCTACAAACTGATGCATAATCCGGATGTAGGATTTCCACATCGTGGCATGTTTGCAGAGATCCGTGTTCCAGGTGCAAGAGGGCTTTTTGTGTCTTGCACAAACACGGAACCCCACCAAGAAACAGGGATCGTTCTTTCTCCAACTTCTTTCCGCAACACTGATAGATGCCAATCACTCGCGCGAAGAACCGTGGTCGTCAAGTTGGATTGGGAATAGCGTTTATTTTATGCTGACAGTTCCTTGTTTCATGCTGGGAGGAACTCCGGGGCACGACGCCGGGGACGTCGTACTCGTGTTCGACTCGACCCGGAGCGTCGTTCTTCGCATCTTCGCCTTCAAGATCCCAACATCCAAACCGAACAAAAGAAAGGGCCTGCCCGGAGGCCTGGTTCCTCTTACTAGGCAGTTCATCTTTATGGTGTGACCCATTCGGCTTGGGATTTGACCCATGTGTGGACCAAGCTGCATCCCAACTTGCTGGGGCCTCTGATCTTGAGCACGAGTCAGCTGCGACCTCAGAACAAAACAGCTGCGCTGTGCAGAAGTTTTGAGTCGGACGGCCCTTTTAAGTCGCTGAACCCGAGTGACCCCGGTTTTGGAGCCAAAGCATGGTCTTTTCCCATCAAAACAAAGATCAAATGGGTGTCACGGGGTGTCTGTGTCTGTATGTATATACAAGTACGTAAAAATCAAATGAATGTTTGCATGTTGAAGATGGTCACCCTCCTAAACACCATGTGGAACCGCAGGGGTGCACTGTCTGCTTCTACACTCTTCTACAAACCAATGGTTTCAGGGTCCACGTGGTCGTCAACTGCAACAAATTGAGGGAATTTGACATGCATCCTTATCAACCATCGTCTCTTTGTCTTTGACCATGCCTCATGTGGCATTCTGGTTCTACCTGATGCTCCAACCCTCAAAGAGTGGTTGATGAAGAAGCAGCAACAGAATGTCCACTGATCCCTCTGGTTTCCTGGATTCCTCTGGCTTTGGAGACGGTGAGTTGGTGAGCCCCACCCAAGAAAGTGCAACAAACACTCAGTGTTGACACTCAGACTTCCCAATCAACAAGCCTCCTTCCTCTTCCAAGTCCATGGACTTCTAGGGGCATCAGACTGTTGCAGGAACAAAAAGAAGGAACAAAGAAGTTGTTTTGTACTCCTAGGTTTCGCCAGATTTGAGGGTCTTCAGTGGAGAAACCAGTTGACCCTCTTTTAAAAAAAAATCGCATCCCCAGTCTGTTTCGTTCAGGCTTCAAGCTCCATTGTACGTATTTTACTACGGTTTACTAAATAAAAACACCTGCCAAGATGAACTTCCTCCCAGCAACCAGTCAACGGCAAGGAGCGCTTCGCTTTGCGCTTCGCGTTTCCGCTTCTGTCTCGTCCAAGGAGCGCCAGGCGCACCAGCGACCTGGAACGACATCGCAGCAGCTCCTTCAAACGCTGCTCCCGGGTGCCTCCCCAGGTGCGGCGAGGGAGACCGGGCGTTTGTTGAGGTGTCTCGGTTTCTTCGCCCCTGAAATTGAAGAGACAACAACAAATGGTGCCTCGGCTTCTGCAAATGAATGTCAATGCTTGCAAAGGGACTTAATAAATATAGGTAATACAGTTACAGCGTGCGTGTATATATATATATATGAGTCAGCGTCAAAAATATATGATTGGAGTGTTTTCGTTTCACTTTTGTCAGTCCCCTATCGTTTTCCATGGTTTTGGGTTTTGCAAGTATGAACATGAGTACCCTATCGTTTTCCATGCTTTTGACCCCCCTCTTGCGAACAGCAGCACACACACACATGCACATGGACCAACCTGCCAGGTCTAGGGTAGGGGTAAAAAACACAGTGACAAGCGGTGCCAGGAGGATTTGCCTCTCACATTGCATGTAAATAAGAACTGGAATCTGCACAGCCTTGGTTAACATGCATTGAGAGCCCCCCAAATCCACAACGCAACTGCTAGCAACAGGATATATCCGATCCAGGAAGCCCAACATGGAGGTGACCCACACCTGCCTCCTCCGAGCTGCACACACATTTTCAGTTCTGAGAAGATGAAGTGCTAGAACTGGAGCTGTCGCTGCCAGATGACGAGTCCGAACTTTCTGAGCCAGGGTTCATTGCAGCCTTTTTTTGCGCTACAGCCCTTTGCGTTTGCTTCTCTGCCCGTTGCTTTCTTTTCTCAATCAAGCAATGGGCATCTGGCACCCCTGTGAAGCGCAAGTTTGCCCCATCTGGAAGTAGGTGGCTCTGGTCGCTCTGCCTCCTGGTCAAGGTAGTCTCCTCGTGAAGACCCAGGGGCCTAACATCATGGTCCCACCGCTCTCGCCCAGTTTCAGACCAAAAGCCTCGGCGGTATGCAGGGGCAGAATCCTTGCTGGGCAGGAGTTCCAAATCACTGGTGAGATTGGTGGCTGCAACCATGTTGGAGAAGACATGGTTGAACACCTTGACGCCCAGCCTGCTGGGACCTTGAGCCACTGGAGCACTGGAAAGACAATATGTTCGAGTAATGTGAAATTTGTTCGCCTGCAGGCGATATCTTTCGTTCGCCGGCTTTTTCTGGGAACCGACATCATTGATGATCACCAACAACGGGGCAGTAGCGTCTGCGCTGCGTGCCGCCTGGTTTTTGTCTGCAAGAAACTTGCACAAGTCGGCAATCTCAACCAGGTCAGTGCCTTGCTTGCGGGCATCTTTCACATTGCGCTCAAAGATGGCAAATAATCTGTCTGCCTCGCTCTTGAAATGTTTTTCCACACCGTAGTGGACACATACTCGAGCTTGGTGCTGCACTGGCAGGACGCAGCAATAGTGGTGCAGTGCTTCGTAGGATCTAAAGTGCGGCCCGGCATCCGAAAGAAGATGAATGGTGTCCACCGGGTTTGTTCCCCTGCGTTGTCTCAGTGCCTGGTCGATGCACTGAGATGCCCGACAAGAGGTGTGATCCAAAATGTCTGATAGGATCAGAACCCGGGTCCACTCCACAGTGCCATCTCTTCTTCTTTCACTTACGACAGATCCAAAAATTGAGATTTCCATCCGCGCGTTTGCGAAGAACTCTTCTCCAGTCTGTGTGCTGCGGACTGGCAATGTGAAGAGTTCTTTGAAGTCTGACAGGACAACCACGGTACCTGCAGGAGGCTCCACCAACAGGTTTGTCAGCACTGGCTTTTGAAACTCATTGGCAGAACGATGGAAGAGGTAGCTGTCCAAGAGTTTTGACATTGCTTCCAGTTGCACACACATGTCCGCCTCCTTTGCGAAAAGGGTTACACGATTGCGCTGCGGGAAGCCGCTGCGCCTGTTCCGCAAGCAGCCCAAGCCACATGGCCAGGAGGTGTGCCTGTGTCGCCGACATGCCTCCTGAGCAGAATGATGCTCCACAAAATGCCGCAGCTGCCGCAAATGCAGGCCTGGCTTCTCAAGCAAAGAGTCATGGCCCTCAAACGCATCCCATTTGGCAAAATAGTTCGGCATGATGGCCGTGAGTTCGGAATGCACAGTGGCAAGCAAATCTTTCACCTGAGGGGCAGGTCTTCCAAATCTGACTACTTTCAGTTAAGCAACAAAAACAAAGCAACACAGAAGGCTTCGTGAGAGAAGTGGCTACTCCAGGCTACTCCATACTCTATATTAGTTACGCAGGCATGCATGGTTTGGGCACGCTGCCTGGGGAAGTACTTTCTTCTTGAGATCGTAGCAATAGATGCAATAGTCATTGATGCTATCCGCTTCTTTGAAATGTCTCAAATGCTTCTTTGCTAGACGCCAGAACGTGGACAAACCCAAGGATGCTCGTATCTCGGAACCTTGCTGCCAGATGCTTTTCTTGTCCTGCATCAAAGTGCTCACGATCTTCCACTCCTGGTCCTGCGGGTCCCACGACAAACGGCTGCTAGGCTGTGAGGCTGCTGACAAAGCTTGCTCCACCATCTCTATGAGCTGTGGGTTGTTCTTCTTGTCAGGTCTTCCTCGCTTCCTGAGAGCGGGCTCTCGGTTCTGCTCTCCGGCACGTTTCCAGCGGATCCGCCCCATGCTAAATGCCGAATTCAGCTGCGCGGGCTTGAGTGCCACAAAATTCACGCACCATCACATCCACATGCTCCCTAACCAAGCGCACTGCATCCGGTGGGTTTGGCGAATCAAACCCGGGGCATTTTGACAGGCTGCGGGAAGCCGCTGCGGGAAGCCGCTGCGGGAAGCCGCTGCGCCTGTTCCAGGGTGTACTGGGAATAACTTCTGGCACAATGTCAATGCTCTCACTGACTTTGCCGGCGTTGCCAACTGCACCGTTTCCGTCTAACATCTCAGTCTCTGCCACTCCACACGCTTCCACGACATCTGCTGCTGGGCCTGCAGGGAACTGCAGGGAAGGGAGGTGGACATGAAGCAAACAGGGGTGCAGGACAGGCTCTATCAATTAGGCAAAGCCTTGAGAAACGTTCAATGCCCTCAAAAAATGCTACAACAGGCTTGCCAAAGCAGAAGCCATGCCTTCATTTTCATGTTCCGCTCGCAGGTCTTGCTTGGCATCAGCTGTCTTGGGCTCATTCATGTCAGATTGTACTGCGTCACCTTCAGTTTCACTTCCGAACGTGCACAGCATGCACATGAAAAGAAAAAGAAGTCAGGTGATGGGTGTCTCTAGGCAGCCAGTATAGCCTCTGGAATGCAAAAAGTAAGGGGTGTCCAACAATAATCTCTGGAATGACACGACAATTCCCTCGGACCTTGCCTGACTGACCAAAGCTAGAAAGCTGCTGATCACCGTTCCCCTGCCCCATCTTCAAAAGGTCTTCTGCTTTGCCCACAGTGTCTGACCCACACGCATTGCCCACAATGCTCTCAGGCTTCGGCGTCACAGCATCCTTCAGTGGAGAAAGCGCTGGACGAAGTCTACATATGGGCCGAGCCAACAGAAAGATGCTCAAAGATAGGAAAACAGAATTGAGCCGAGTTTCCTCTGAAAAGCCATGCTCTTTGGCCTGCTTCTTACTTTTGTATTGCTTGGTCTTGCCCTTCTCATCTGTCTTAATGTAGACCCCTGGGGTCAAAAAGGAGTTTGTTTCATCGGATAGCTGACAGCCATGGTTGCTAAGTCCGTTCTCGGTACTTGTTTAATGATGGCTTTTTCATTGTCTCATGATGGTTCTGTCAAAGCATCCAAAGAATTTCAATGTCTGCAGGCAAGAAGCAGTACTTGCGATCACTGCTGATCAGCTCACGCTGCTCAACCCGCCACATGGCGTGCGTCACCCCCCCCTTTAAGCTCAAAAAAGCTTCGCCACACAATGAACACACATGCTGAAGACGTGTACTAGACTGGCGTTGTTCTGTTAGAGACCGTCATGTATGTATACATAGGGGTATCGTTTTTTATCAGTCCCCTATCGTTTTTCAAGGAAAATCACAAAAGCAACACAGAGATGAAACGTCCCTTACTAAAGTAATTGATGATAATTTTGAGGTTGCCTCATATGCAAATACAAATAGAAAAATGGGTAGATATAGTTGGTAGGTAGATAGATGGTTAGTAAAACCAAATAGACGAAGGATTAAATCAAGTAGACACAACTTGCAGCTCACAGTGCCTTTGGGTGATTTGAGTGAGTGAGTAACGACAGGAATCACACTATCGCACCGAACAGAACCGTATAGACGCCAACGTTTCGATCGGTTTTGGGCCTTTGGGAGCTCTTTGACTGGGTGATCCCGGCCAAAAGACTCAGACGATGAGTTTGTTTCGCAAAAGAAAATACCATGGACCTTCTGTCGGGGTGTCCTGTCTGGAGGTCCCTTAGTAGTGGGCTGGGGCTTCCAGCCAGGTGACGCATTTTTTCAGCACTGGGCCGCTCCTCATTTTGACCGCAGGGATTGCTTCAATCACTCGTCGATGTCGACCACTCGTCACACCCCAAAAAAAGTGTCTGGATGTAGGATCTTGCAGGGTCCCACCTTAGGCATTGCAGCTCCCCGTCTCAAGGATTGGATTTCTATAGTGATGGCTCATGAAAAGCAATGATGTGCTAGTCAGACTCGCGGTCCTCATCTTTCGTTTCCCATATCGTTTTCCATGTCGCTCCGGCCATCCGCGACATGACCGCCTGCATCGGCAATCTCTTGCCGTAGCCTGGTCAGGGACTCACTGAGCTCCTCTGGCCAAGGGCCGGCGGTTTTCGTCGAGTCATTTCGTCGAGGAACTTAGAGTCAGTTGACCCCAAAGACTGATGGGACTGGAAAGTCGGCCATGGAATCGCATAAATTATTTGGAGATAAGGACAGATAAAGGATATAGATGTGGAACAAAAAATCTCTATCCCTAGTTATTCTGTTCCTGGCTCCCTTCCGGTGCATCAACAACCCTGCTTGAAGATGATGTTGAAACCTTCAATCTGTTTCACCGAACGGGAACGGGTCTAACACGCATGCCGAAAACGCCCGGTCAAGCCCCGTTCTACTTCCGGTCCTGGCACTGCAACTGTAGCGACTGCCGCGCGGACGCCTCGTCGGGTCGAAGGCCAAGTGCAGGTGGGTTCGAAGGTTTCAGGGCATCCCATTGGTCGCATCGCCCAGTGGAACCAAGGCGACGCTTCATAAAAATATCGTGGCATTGTTTCGTCGATCCGTCTCGGTTGATGCGTTCATCGCTGATCTCGGGGGATGGGTCCTCCCAGGTTACATGCCTTCATCGACGTCTCGGCTTTTGGTCTAGTCGCCACTCCTGGGAAAGCCGTGGCAACTCCATGCTTCAGCCATTTAAAAAAGAGGTCTCATCTGACAGCCGAGGCTCCGAAAAAGAGGAAATGACATCTGAGCTAGCTCAGCGTTGTTTTTTTCCTGCCCAGAAGAGCCGCTATTTTTCGATGGGAATGGCCAGGCTGCCGTACCATCTAGGGACCTCCGTCGTTTCATCGCCCGAGTCTGCCTCGAAGTCTGGTTCTTCCTCATCGCTTCCGGGCGGCCAGGCCTGCACGACAGATTGGAGAAAAACGAGCGCAAAAGAAAGCAACAAAAGATATATCTTCCCTGGCATTCAAAGACAACTTAAAACATGCTTGACCTGGTTTCGTCATGTTAAATCCGTAAAACCATGGTTGTTTTGGTAAAGGATTGTGAAGGCGTTTAAATCACAGGTGGTTCGAATCCTATAGGGTCTTTTTTAGTAATATTCAGTATCTAGATCTGTCGTGTCGCCCTGCTGGAATCCTCGCAGGTGAATGGGGACTGACGGACCCAGTGCACATCGGCGAGTGTGGAGTGTCAAAGTTGCAACCAAACGGGGTGGTGAATGCGCTGTGAGTCATGGCACCTCTTCCACCAAACCACGGAACATGGACATGCCTTATGATGGTATATATCGGTTCCTTTTTTGGTGGTCAACGCGGTGTCCGGGTGCCATGACGGCATATGGACGGCGGGAAAAGTGAGCAGCATGAACGGCTGATGGGACAGCATGAACTCCCACGGGTCAAAAAGCCAGGGTTTGAAGAACCCCCAGGTCTTCAACAAGTTGGCTGCAGAAAGGCTGCGGAATAGGATCACATCAGCCTGTAGCAAATTGTCATGTGAAGAAATCCAATACCTGTTTCGTCCCCGTTAAAATAGAGGCGGAATGGTTGAGGGTGGACAGTCAGGGAGGGTTGGAGCCTTTTTGTAGAAGAAATTTCAACAAGGATCGTGTTTCATCGTGTTTCTATTTGATATGGCAAAAAGTATCGACTCAACCCCCTGCCATCCCCTGCCCATTCCTCGACCCATCTCGACCCCCTCCCTCAACTCCCCTCTGATCTCGGACCTGCCTCTGATCTGGGCCTTGGAGCTGAGTTCGGTGAAGGCGTATCGAGCTAAAAAGAAAAAAACACCAGTAGCAAATAGCTACTAGTAGCTTCTTGTTACCAGTAGTAATGGCCTCCACCCCACTAGCGATGGCTTCCACCTAGCAGCGTCCTTACTACTCCTATGTAAAAAAATGTTCAGAGGGTCACTGCTGTGATGTCCCTGAGATGGCTTCCTGCCCACATCCGCAAATCTGACATCTGCAGTTCCGTAAAAGAGGGGGCGTGGGGCGACAAGAAATTGATTTTGTGCAGGTGACCATCTACGCAGATCTTAGGCTCTCCACTCAACTCCGCTGCTTTTCCCTGTACAGTACTCCATGTTCACGGCTGGGGAAGAAACAAGGACAAGATAATAGTACCCAGCTTTGATTCGCTACTTGAAAGCTGCTCAGCCAGCTGTTTCTTCTCCGCCTTTCCATGGGCAGCACCTCTTGTTCAAGCCAGTCAGTCTAAGCCTACCGAAGCCAAGGCAGAGCTCGGTTCTTCCAATGGAAGGAGTAGTTACAGCCCCTTGCTAGCGAGACCCAAACCCCCAAGGCACTTGGGGGAGGGCACTTTTGCGGATGTTAAAGCAAAGTTCCACCACAACCCATGTTGAATACGGCCTCAGATGCGTATTGAATGTGGTCACAGTACGCAGCAAATCAAATCCCCAACCGCACTTTTAGGTGAACACAAAAGAAAGACTGTTGTATTATATAATATATATATATATTGTTGTCACAAAAGACTGTGTGTTTGACCTTTCTGCTTTTGTTTGACGTCCCCTGAGTTCGTCACTTGATGTGAGCCCTCTGAGTTCGTTCTTTTTCGTTTTGTCCAACGAATCAGAGGAGTCTTCGTTTTCGCCCTCGGGGCCTCGCGCAGAAAAACGTGGACATCTGCAACAATGGCATTACTACATAGTAGTAAATAGCTACGACAAATGCTACTAGATAGTAGCTTCTTGCTACTACGTAGTAATGCCATTGTTCCGTTCGTAGCGATGCCCTTGTTCCTAGTAGCTTGGTGTGAAAAGAAACAAAAACCTGCCGACTGCATTCATTCTTCCGCAGCAATGAGTCTCAATGGAGACTTGCCGGCATTAAAAAAACCTAAAGTTCTGGGCCAACGCGGGAGTGCACACCCTGAGCAGAGACCCAGCCACCGTCATCTGACCTCACCCAGTGACCAGCCCGAACAGGGGGCAAAACCCAATGGCCTCCCCTACTGGCATACATGAGTGACAGCGACCTCAGGACCTGGCGGTCGAGGCGTTAGTCACGGCGCCCAGTGAGCACATTAGCGCATCGTCTCACTGTCATCCACTTGGCAAGCGGGTTGGCCCCAAACGCCACATCACTGTAGCAAAGTCGACCGTCAGTCGTGCATGAACTCCGCTACAGTGACGCATGCTGCGCCCCACACCCGGCCAGCGGTGTGAAAAGTGCCTTTGCGAGTACCGTGAGTGGCAATCGCATTGGCACCTTTGGGTAAGGCTCATGCCACAATGAGAGATCGTGTTGATCAGGGTGCTGTAATTACCTTGCGGAGGTTTGTTGCTTGTGATGGGTATATGATTTTATGAAATGGTTGTGCCAACCTAGAGCACTGCAGGCCTTACGTTGAAGGTAAAATCTCCTGTACACGCAAGTTGGAAGACTTGGCAGCCTAGCCGTGCTCCAGAATCCAGGACGCAATCAGTGGTTAATAGGACCCAATTGCACTTCGAATGGGTACTCAGGATTGAAACGGTGGAAAGTACCTGCTGAATCGCCTGCATGTCTGCTCAGGGCCTCCGGGAATAGGTGCGCCATCATCCAAATCCAAACCAAGGTGGGAGTCGTTAGCAAGACCCCAGGACCAACCTCCGGCTGACCCACTCAAGGATCTCCCCAGTGTGGCCGTCGGCCGCTCTGGCGTTGTCCCGCTGCAGGGCAACGTTGCCTTTGTGTCGTGGTGCACACACTTGCGGGCCTCAGTGTTCTGCGGCCCGCCGAGAGGGGCGCCCAGGAGGGTGAAGTTTCCACTGGCGTTGATGCGGGCGCCGGCAGGGAAGGCCCCGGCATCCACACGGGCTGTGGGCCCACCACAAACTACGGGTCAGTGCAGCAGTCACTGGCTGGGAGCCACCAGCCAAGCAAGCATCGTCCAGCTAAGCAAAGACTAGCTTGGGCTGCCCGGCGCCCAACTGTGCAGTCTGCAGGGCCGGTTGGAGTGCCAAGGCGAACAGCAGAGGCCCTAGCGGATCTCCCTGCTGCACACCAACCTCGGACTTGAAGACCGTATCGAAGAGGAGCCTGGAGCGCCAGCACTCCACACATGACCAGGGGCGTTCCAGAAGTTGCGAGGAAGCCTTCCCCCTCCCGAAACATGCTCCTCCATCTGTGGACGGCGTTCCCGACGAAGCGCGACGGGGCGGTTCGGGCTCCCTGCTCCGTGGCGTTCTTGGCGCCTCGCCGAGAGACCGGAGATGTGCGATGTGAAGAAAAGTAACCTTCGGAAGAAATCCCATCTACAGCAGCTTTTGTCGAAATCCAAAAAAAGAACATAGAAACCATCCTGGCATTGCAAGAACCTGCGGTTCAAAAAGAAAAGACGCGGGTGTTTGCATCGATCAACGTGGTTAGACATATACCTCACTCGACCCACGATATCCCAAAGGTTGGAGGTGGTGATCCAAGGCCTGCGAGACGATGAATCAATCACCGTGGATTCCGCGTGAAAGCGCCCCACAACGATCCACAGGAATCCACCGGGTCATGGGAGATCTGTTCTTGCATCTTGCGAATTGGAGAGGTACACGGTACATGTGCAGAAAGACACCCAAATGCTCTAGACAAAAGAAAATAAGCTACTAGGAACAAGTGCATCGCTTCTAGTAACAAGTGCCTTACTAGTAGCAACAAGAAGCTATTAGAAACAATAATTAGTTATTAGAAACAATAAGCTACTAGGAACTTGTTACTCTCCAGTACTCCCTCAAACGCACCAAGTGCCCTCCAAGTGTCCCACTTCCCACCCGGCTCCTTGAAACGAGCTCGGCCGGTCATGAAATCCATGGGCTCCACAGCTGCTCCTGGCGAAAGCACCGACCCAAGATGTGCTCCCCGGTGGGTCTCTCCGCTCCACTGGTGCCCCAAAATGGTTCGTCTATGTTCGTCTCCCAAGAAACTCAGGAAAACGGTAGCGGGCTTCTAATGGGAAGGCAAGGGGTTGAGACAAAACTGGTCTAGACAAGTCTCCCAAATGGCCAAATAAGTTTATAATATGGCGGTCAAAACCTCACCCTTCAAACCGAAGGTTGACATCCCTTGACATAGAGGAACCTAGGTCCTTTTCAAAGGTCAAGCAGGGTGAACGAGTTTTCACCCACAACCACATACTCTCATTCATTCTCTTGTCTGCGATGACCTGTTCGATGGCAAGCTGGACGGACTTGACGGGGGCTCGAAACCGAGCTCGGACGGGTGTGGATCCAGTCCCAAAGAACCAATAGAGGTTGAAGAACCGTATAGGCTATCCTATAGGTACCCTGGTAGGGTCCTAGTTCAGGTCACTTAACCTCTGTTGCAAGTGGCACTACGGGTTCTTGCTGAGCGAACCAGTTCTGTTCCTCAGGTCTCGAAGAATGGTCGAGTCCAGGGGGGGGGTGTAGTCAAATAATAATAGACGAATCTCATTGGTGTAGTCCAATGAACATGAACATTGTAGTCTAGAGTCTAGAGGGTGTGGTAGTCCAGGGGGCTCAATGAGCAATGCAATCCCAATGTTCATTGAGCCAATGAGATTGTTTGCTTCGAGCCTTAGCAAATAAATGGAGAGCACGAGCTGGCTGATGGCAACCTGTCGGCCCCCGTTTTCGCTGGCTGAACGCGGCAGTGAAGTTTGCCCTACCTGGCCCTACCTCAAACAACCTGGTAACCTGCTTGTTGAAAAGTTGTCCACAGATTGCTCTGCCTTAGTGCTGGCTGTTTCCAACCCAAGTCACAAAGATCATGAGACTAATTTACATGAGACTACATATAAAGGTTTCCTCAACCACACAGTATGTGAGGGATTGTTAACTGCACCTCCTGCCGCTGCCAAACAAAGGGTTTCGCTTGGTAACCAAACCATACGGCTGTGGATCAGAATGGGATCCACGAACGCCGTGGTGTTTTGGTGCGTGTCTCGTCTTGCATGTGCTTTTCCACGGGTTGTGTAAAAAAACAGGTGTCAACTCTCAAAGATCTCCAAACAGCAACCCAAGTACAGTTGGGGCGGATCCACCATAATCAACCAAATACACCCACTCAGGTCAGCGTTGGGATAGAGAAAAACAGACCTGTACGAATCACTAGGATAACTGAATGACTGCAACCTCTCTTCACCCAACTCCACCCTACTAGCGATGGCCTCCACCCTAGTAGCGATGGCCTCCAACTTACTAGCAATGGCCTCCAACCTAAGAGCAATGGCCTCCAACCTAAAAACGATGGCCTCCAACCTAGGAGCTTCTTGTTACTCTTTCTTCTCTTTCTTTCCTCTCAGGTGTTGAAGTATGACTGCAACCTCTCTTCACCCAACTCCTTTCCATTCAACCACTCCGGCTCTTTTCAAGTGAACACACCGCCGTTCAAGCGATGCCTTCGGGTCGGGGGTCTGGGGATTTCGCGTGGCGCGAGGCGAAAGGAAAACGGCCGCGCCGAAAAAGGTTCCGGAAAACGGAGGCCGGCTGTGGTGGCACAGGGCTGTTGATTCATGCAAACATGGTCAACTCTTCAACAACATCGTCAACTGAAATCAACAACATGTCCTCAAGAACCATGACCTACCAAAGACCTACCACAGCCGGAGGAAAGATTTAGGGTTGGAACAGCGTGGAAATCGTTCACTGACCTAGGAATTACAGTAGATTTCTTTGGATGCCTCTTGTTTGCACAGGATTCTCCTCTAGTTTGCAAGTGAAAAAGAAGGCACCACTTTGAATTTTCAGGCATCCAGTGAATGATTTCACTCTTCCAAACCTTCTTAGAAGGAAATAACTCAGGCGCGTAAAATATGTTTCGCGCATCTGCAAACATGGTTTGCAATTCTTTTTGACGGATTGGAGCTGCTAGCATGTAGGCCAAGAGGTTCTTCCATCGCTAAAGGCTTGTTCTCTTGTTCTATGCTGGTACATGTTTTACCTGCCATTTGTGCAAGGATGTGTGGAGGGGGGCTTATGAACCCCTCACACACAAGGGTATTATTCATGCCTACGGTTGTTGGTGAAAACTGACCATGGCTGGAGAATACACAAGCTTGCAATCGCAAAAGGTACAGTATAAACAACAACCGGGGCATGTTCCTGTTGCAGCAGTTCCCTTTTGAGCAAAAGCCCCCCCCACTGCCCCCACACATTTCTCATGTCCAGCACGCATGAAATATGTGTATGTATATATATATATGCATAGACCTCCCTATAGACAATAGATCAATACAGTATGTGTTATGCAAGCCGTACCCCCCTTCAAGGACCTCCATTTTGGTACGGTACCAGCAAACGAGTGTTTGGTCAGATGACCACTACGTAGTTTCCAGACTTCCAGATGGCGGTGGTAGACTACATAAGAGATCTCCCAGTCACACTCCTAATACATCGAAGGCTAGCAGCAGAAGGGTCGCCCAACCTTCGAAGGCTTAGAACTGAGCACTTCGAAGGCCTAGAACCAGGAACCAGCTGCTCAACGACATGTAACCGAAGTGTACGGTGGAACTTCACGAGTTCGCCTCTGATAATTGAAGTACCCACCATTCTTAGCTTTGCTCTCACACGTGCTTGTCGTTTACAGCTTTGTTCTCCCAGAAACCCTTGCTACAGGCCAAGGGCCAAGAGTCCTTTTTCCAATGTGCTTGTTGGATATGGGATTGTGTAAGTCTCAATGAGAACTTTATTCTGATGCAAAGAAGGTGCTTGTTCAGTGTTGTTCTGCTTGTTGTGTTGTGTTGGTGGTTTTGGGGCCGTCTAGAGGTAGGGCACACTCATGTCAATAAAGACATACAATCAAAATACTGGTTTCAGAGTAGATGGCACAAACCCCAAAAGGTGGTTTATATGGACCCCTACATAAAAGCCATCTTGGGGGTTGTGCCATCTACTCTGAAACCACTGTATGCGGCGTCTAGTGTTTTGGCAATGTCCTGATTTCTTGTGGGAGAACATCGGCTCGTTTTCTTGAGCGTGACCTCTCCGGCACCAAACGGGGGTTTTGGATGAAATCCAGTGGGTCGATGGAGGAAGAGGCATAATGCATATGTATATATATACATATAGTTATTGTGTTTTAAAGTTATATTATGTGTATATATCTATATCAAATATGTGTATGTATATATATATATAGATCATACATGTCTTGTATATGTACATATGTATATATCTTATACTATCTCCGTATATATTATGTATATATATAATATATCAAATATGTCCATGTCTCCACCCTCCACCTTGTCACCGTGTTGTCTCTTCGGCATCGCTCTCAACAGCTCCGGCTCGCGGCTCAGGCGTTCTTCTTCTGCTCCCACTTGGCGGCCTCCTCCCGCGCGCGCTCCTGGAGGATCGAGCGTCGCCGCTCGCCCCGGCTGGTCGTGCTTCTTCCGCTCCGACCCACTTGAAGGGGTTCTTCCTGATTGAAGGGGTGTGAGAGGGGGAAGGTGTTCGGTGTTCTTCCTTCTTTTTCAATCACAGGCGCTAGTAGTGCCAGTCACAGTAACCCACTTGAAGGTGTTCTTCCCCAACTAGCTGGCGCTAGTGCTAGACTTCGCTCGGATCACACGGCGCGTCGGATCGCATCGACCGGCCGTGTTGGGAAACCTCGCGGCGCGCGCGCGCGCTTGGGAGCACGACACTTAGGTCACCGGCTGTGTCGAGGAACAGGGTCGTCTTCAAAATGGGCTTCCATGCCACCCCCACCCCGGAGGGTATCCATTGGATCTTCACCGAAGTTGACCCCCGGACCTCCACCATATGTCAAGAACCGTTGAAAAATAATGGGCTCCTGAAGATCCATATATATATATATACCTACGTAGAACCCATTTAGACCTCTGATAGGAAAAGACCATATTTGGGGTGCTTGGTGATCTAAATTAAATAGAGGTCACTCGGGTTCTATCGGTATACGTGTATATATATATATATAAATCAAAATAATTAATACAAATATCCTGCAAAGGTGTGCCAGGGGCCATGCTACCTTCGGTCAACCTATGTCATGCTACCTTCGGAAGTAGTTGGACCCACAAAGACCGAACCTTTGGATATCCATAGTCATTGACACTCAGTTCCTTATTCCAACACTGCACACCGTCAACCTCAAAGTAATCAAGAAAGCCACCGTCTCTCCTCCGCAAGCTTCTGTCGCTCCACCATTTCCTCAGGGCTGGCCGCCGAGCGCCAGCCTGGTGCGATCTCTTCGCTCATCTCCTCTTGCTTCATGGTATCCTCCGCCAGACATCACACCCCGAAGGGAAAAAAAATACTTTCGACGTCCGACATCACCACCACGACTCTTCTGAAAGGCGAGTGAATGTGGTGGTTGCCGTGTGACTCTTCTTGCGGAAAGCCCAAGCTTTCACGTTCCCATCGCAAAGGGGTCTCGCAAAAGGCGTTTCTACGATGAGGGGTGAAAAAAAATGGGACTCGATCACTTCGATCAGTTGGAAAGAGTCTACCGAATCGACCAGACAGCAATGGCAGCCGCATCATACAGCTATGTCCCCTCGTGTCGCACCATCTTCGTGCACCTCTTCGTGCGCAGATCCGGGTCTTCCAACGGCCGGAAGGCGAGTTCGTTTCACGCCATGCGGGTCATGCTACAGAGCCCAGTGGTTGTGCGTACAGAGCGACCTGTCGACAGGTGACTTCAACTTCGGGATCTCCAGGACACCCAGACAGGAGGCTCCAGGTACTTTGAGACATGGAAATCTACTGACAACACAACTAAGTGGCTCGAACCCGTCGGCTCAGCCGCCTGGTCGAAGTAAAGGGTCGATTCGGTCGACTGGGTCGACTTGGGCGTCGAAAATCCCGGAATGTCTCGAGCACCCCTTTACCTTTCATTAAGCCAGCATGGAAGTCTGTCAATTTCATCCATCTTGGAGATATCCCTTTTCCCACAGCTATCCAACCAACTCCTTCATGATCTTTGCCATCTTCTTGTAGGCCTTTCCCTCTATCCCATTCACCTTCTCATACCTTTTTCTGGTCTCACAAACGTAACTCGTTTTGGTTGGAATCCTTCCAACTAAAGTATATAGCTATAAAAATGAAAAGCGAGGATCCAAACAAAATCAAAAGCTTCTCGTGGGCTTGCCGAGATACTGTTCCAAGCGCGCCTCGATCTGATTGGTCGTCGGCTTGTACTCCTCAGTCAGTGAGATTCTTCCGTCCGAAGGGCCTTGTGGATGCGTCTCACAATGGACTGCCCAGCAAGGATCAAACAGCATCGATGAGCATTCACATGTGAATGATGAATCAAAACTCCCTTAAGAGTGAGGTCTCACACTGGAGAGAGAAGAAGAAAAAAAACATGAACCCCCTACAAGCACAATGCAGCTGCCCTTCCCAAGACAACAAATCCATGTTTATATCATTCGGGCGCGAGGGACTGCACTCTCAGGTTGGGTGAAGGAGGCGAAAGAGGTGAAAACCCAGAGTTCAGCCAAGGCTCACTGTCCCAGACCTTGACCTTAGCAGGAAGCTGGGAGAACTTGAGGGTCAAAACTGAAGAACGTGTAGACTGGGTCATCAGTGAAGTATTCACTACGTGACTGGGTCTCCACGGTTCTGAAATGGCCATGGGGCCGTTCAAAAACCTCTCTAGGGCTTCTTCCCGTCCAAGTGTCTCCACTGAAGACGTTTGGAATGGAGTCATGTTTCACTCAGTTCATGGCGACCGACCCTTGACCCTGCGGCCTCCTTTTTGTTTCCACAAGGGAACTCCTTCTCTGTCGGCACCGCGTGGGAAAGGGTTTCAAGATAACATACTTCGGGAGATACGTTCTGCTGTGTAACAAGTCCGAAGGGAAGAGGTCCCCTGATCGAAAGAATGCTCCGCATGTTTAGAAAGTTGATCTATTTGGGCGTCGCTCAATCGGCCATGAGTGTTGGCATGGATCACCCGAATGTTGTTTTCGCATGTTTTCGCCCGAGTTAGCACCCTTTGGATAGAAATCCTGTTGGCACGAGTTCAGGAATGAACGATTGGTTGCCGAAAAATTGTTTTTCAATTTATAATGCCATCCTCCCACTCCCCACAATGTGCAGCAAAGTACAAATAGTATTGGCAATTGTTTGCAGCATGTTCAGTTGTCCATCATCTTTCACAACCAAGTTCCCCCAGATCTTTACCTTCGCAACCTTCTCCCACAGATCCTTCCCACCTTTTCGGACGTCGAAACATCGTACCATCAGATTCCACACGAGATTCCCATCGTTTGCAGTGTCCAATCCAAGCCACGAGGTTGTAATCCAAATCCTCGATGTAGACTTCCCAGTTGTAGGGATAGGCACGAAAGGTGGTCATCTGCCACGATTGGCACGGTGCCTCACACGCGTTCTTTGGTGTCCGAAAACCCACCACCGAAGAGAGGAGGAGGAGGAGGAGGAAGGCCCCCGAGTGGATGGAGGTTCGTGGGATCGGATGTTGACATCCACAAGTCTCGTCCAAACGGCTCAGCCGCTCAGTCGGGCCACTCACCGAGCCACAGCGCACGTGGCTCGGCTGAATACATCCAGGGACACCGATGCCTTTCACGATTTCTGGACTGGTCGAGACCCCTTCGTAACAGGTGGTATCTAAAGCTGCCTGACGAACAAGGCAGGCAAGCAGATATCTTCAGAAAAGCATGATAAAGCGGGCATAATGAATATGATGGCTGACCTCATACTTTTGGTTGGCCTTGATCCTATTCAGACAGCCTCGAGTGTTTGCTGCGCGGGGACCCCTTTTACTAATTAAGATAGAACATTGGCGGCATTTCTTCGTGAGATTCAACGCCCCCATGAACCGACTCCCCAACTGTTCATCCCAGTGGTTCACTAGTCACTAGAGGACGAAAACGTCGGATTCTGCGAAGCAGCGCAGTCCACCCGCCGTCCGCGGCCCCAAAAGAACCCCACATAACCATACATAACCTACGTCGAGGTGTGCGTCGGAGCGGTCGTCGGCCCATGGAGCCTTTCAGAAAGAAAACGTCCCCGGGCCCCCAGATCTGAAGATCGAAAAAGGTTCATTCTTCTTCTTTCTTGGGTTCTTGGTCTAGTTCGTCTCTTCTTTCGTTTTGTTTCTCTTCACCACAGAAATCTATATAAGTCCACTCGGTCGACACGTGTCTATCTCCCCACCACCTCCCCCAAGACGAAGTCAGAGACTGTCTGGTGTTCTCCCAGGATGTGGGTCCTCCCTTTCATGTGCGTCCTGCGAGGTTTCCACCGGCCTTGTCGTAGTAGTAGGTCTGCTCCTGGAAGATGTTGCTGATCTCCTCACCGGTGGTGCGGTCGGAACGAAAGCGCCAAGGTCGGTGGGGTCTTCCAGGTGAGGCGTCCCAGAGAGGACGCAGTAGGACTTCCCAGTGTCGAGAACTCGCCCAGTCATGCTTTTTCATATGTGTTGACCATGTCGTTGGTGGTTGGTTGGAGATCTGGCCCACTTCCAGGTGGGTGTGCATCATACTAGGGAGACCCGGCCCAATGGCTTTGGGATGCTTTGGGTCTATTTTTCTTCCAGGGGATCTTTGGGAGGTTTTTCCTATTTAACCCACGTCTATGTCTTTCTCTCCAGTGCAGGCACATCCTTCGACCCTAAATATCATGTCGACCCTCAAATCAAGCAGAACTGAGCACGCCGTTCGTTTTTGGTGACCATGACGGCAAAGGTGCAGGAAACTGATGGAAACTGTTTCATCTCTCCGATTGCTCAATAGGTAAGTTGGTTGACCTACCTAGGTCAAGTTCCATGGTGCTGTTGAGGCTTCAGGTTTTGACTCAATAGGTGAGTTCTGCTTGTATCTTTGGGTCTCACCACACTTGCCTGTCGCCGGGCTCCAGTTCGGTCACAACGATAAGATGATTTACTGTATAAGCTCGTGCACCAGCGGGCCAGGCCTGTTGGGCTCGTGTTGGTTCTTCCAATGGTGGATTGATGTTGATGCCACAAAGTGAGAGAGAGAGAGAGTCAGAGGTCCCGAGAATTCGGTGCAAAGAAAATCAATGGCGCCATCATTCGCCGCCGACTCATTGAGAAGTGAGAATCCCTACAGCTTTCAGTGATCTGGTGAAAACATGCCAACTGGTCACCGAGACCGGGACCGAAAGCAACAACGGCCATCTATCCAGCCTTGCCCATGTTGGTGTAGTCTCCCCAGTCCATTCCTTGGTCTCTCCGGGTTCCGTCTGACTCACCCGGCCGACCGTCCCGACCGTGTGACCGTGACCCAAAAGAAAGGTGAGGTGGAGACCCGGTCCTGTCGGCGTGGTTTCATGGTTTAAAAAAGGAGAGTGATGTACCAGCACCGACTTCACAGGTCACCAATTGAAACCTGTTAGGGCCTAACAACCCTCCAAAAGAGACCTGTTGGAAGGTGCTGGTAGACTCAAATTATATACTTTAAACAATCCCCTGCCCCAGGCCTGCAGAGATTGTTCAATTCAAAATCACCCAATGTCGGTGTTTCAGCGCTGTTGTTGGACAGATCGTCCATTGGACCATCAAATTCTCCTGCACCCACTGAAATTCACAAAAACCATGCAAAACCATTAACCAGTGCTTTTATACTCTTTTCGACTTGAGTGGATGTTCATCAACCGTCCCCTACAAGTCCAGTCTAACCCACTAAAGCCTGGGTCAGACTAAAACCTCCATCGAGTCGTGTTGTTTACCAACTCCAAAATGAGGCCCAACTGGTCAGTAGCTGAGGTAGACCGCGGTCGAGACCACTGTCTAAGAACGACGGCTGGACACGGTCTGACGTTGCTTCGGTCGTCAACAGCGGCTCCATCCAACCTGGAGACCGGGACAGCGCATTTTACATGACCCACGAGATGCAAGAGAGGACAAGAAGAACAGCGAGACCATGTTTGTGTGTTTGTTGTTCTATTTTTTACATTGTGCTTTTGTGGTCTATAGAATGTTTAAGTAAAGGATCAAGCATCGTTCAGGGATGTTCCCATTCAGTCGGCCATAAAACACGGCTTTTACCCAGTCCAACTTTTGGGCTGCTCAGACCACTGAGCCAACGGACTTCCACCATGCTTCCTTTGAAGTCCACGCGGAAGAAGGATTGGGCGTTCTCCGTGTTCACCAGCAACACCAAGCGATCCTTCATCCTTCGGATGAAGTTCTGGGTCTTCTGCTCGGCCATCAAGTCTCGACCTTCGGAACTCTGCGCCCGCGAGCGCTCTCTTGCGCGGGTGGAGACCAAACACCGCCGGTGGCCCAACGGTCGCCTCTCAGGTGGTGTTGGGTCGGTGTCGGTCGGTCTTCACACCCGCCCACAATCCCTCCGAGGGTCGGGTCGAAGTCGAATTCTTTCGTTCGAAACAGCAAGGCTTCCACTTCCTGCAGGAAAGCGCCGGAAGTGGAAGCCTCCCTTGCCACCTTCAATGACTTCATGAACCCCAAAAATCTCAGTTGGGTGAGAGAACAGGGTGGTTTCTCCACCTGCGAACCTCGAAACTGACCTCCCAAGACTTACATCCACATCTTCGGTGCGTCCTTATCCTTTCTTCACCGTGCTCTAGTGGGGTGGAACCATGAGCCCTCACAAGTCACCAGCCTGGAAGATAGAACATGGCCATATCCTGCATCTCGTTGTCGGATTCGCGATAGATCCTGAGGGGTCGGTCAAGAGACCTGTGGACCGCCCCATCTTCAAACGCTCCGAGACCGTCCGAGGCCCGGCCCGTGCTCGAGGCCGAATCTGCTGAGAGGCCCACAGGCTGGTGTAGTAATAGTAAAAAGGGCCGGCGAAACAAGGTCACATGACATGGATCCACCAGATGGATCCACCAAGCTGAGAAGTTGCCAACAAGCTGGCAGTCATGAGTTCCAATCACACTCGCACGGACAAAGGGCAAGGATTTCAAAGATGGCACCACCCACCCTAGATCTTGTTTTGGATGGAATTCATATAATATATAAGTACACAAATAGATACAAATAGATAATTTAGATGAAAACTCCTGACACCCAATTCAATTCCTTACACCCAATTAGTTGGCAAAAGAATTATGTGTATAAATAGATCATATGTATTTTATTTATATTATATACTCTGAAACGCTGGGACCCGGAGTTTTGACGTTTTCCAGGCCGGCATGACTCAGGTCTGGGGGGTCCTCGATGGAAACCGGGGGCTTCACGTCTTCAACCAAATGGGTCAAGGCCTTTGAAAGTTGAAGGCCTTCAACCAAATGGGCGAACTGATCAGCTCTTCCAGGGGTCGAACTGGAAGGTCTCCTTTTCTAGTACACAGCCGTAAGTGAAGACCCCTGGTCAACCTCAATGAAACACTGCTGCAGACTCTCTCGATCAGCAGAGAGTGCTTCTTTGAACTCACCCAAAGTGTGCTGCCTTTGAACACCTTCCCTGTCACTCGACTCGGGTGGAAGCAAAGGTTCCGGAAAAGGAGATAGGTTGATTCACACAGAATGAGTTGGCATGTGACTTGCGCTTCATCAAATGGCATATCACACATTGCCAAAGAAATGTATGGACATGTGCCCCACCACCACCTTGTTCTGCCCCACCACCACCACTCCGGGCCACCATTCTCTGCCGCAAATCTCCACTCCCGACCTGAAATGGGCCATGGAAACGCGACCTGCCCTGCTGTCGGCGACCGGCTCCACCAAGGCTCAAGGTCCCGGCTTGATCGTCCACCACGGAGGTCTTCACATCCTCCAAACGGAATGCGCCGGATTCCGCGGATCCGACGGATCCGGCAAATTGGGGGGATCGGTAGGACCGTAGATCAAACGACTGCCCCAAGAGCTCCGTCTCATCACGGGGTACCGGGGTGATCTCAGAGATGGAGGGGGCACAAAGATGGACAGTCGCAGCACGCCGGCTTACTGTGTAGTGTCTTGCCTCGTTCGAGCGAAAGAGGACGTCACGCGTTCGAAGATGCAAGAAGATGCAACGCGCGTTCTGCATGACCATGAAGTTGGCTCATCGTTCTTGCGACCAAATTCTGGTCACCCGGTACCCCAAACAACCGTCCATGACCTCTTCCAGCTACCCAAAGGTTCAGAGTTTGGACCCTCAGTTCGGGTTTTGACCCTCACAACTAGGGTTTTGGACCGAACCAACATGTAGCAGTTGGTTTGGGGTCCAGGGTTGCCTGGGCAGAGAACCGCCTTGAGGACTTTCGAGGCCTTTGCCGCGTCTTCAGCCGAAGTTCTTTTCACAATCCTGGGGCCTCTCAGTTGAAAATCGTTGATCGAACAGGACATTTCTGTACTTGAACATGGAAACATGTCTTCAAAACCATTTTGGACATTTTGGGACACAGTTTCTACCTCTCAAAATATGTTGGGCCGCTGAAAAAAGTCATGTTCAGTGAATCCCTAGCCTCTAGCACTATTTCACTTGTGCAATGCCGGCTGAACTCCCCCCCCATCATTCCCATCACTCCGCGAACGCGGGCACAAAAACAAACCCTCCGCCACCCAACGAATGAACATCCCTCACTCCCGCCCTCGCCTTGAAGAAGTCGCCACCCCACAACTTCTTGGACAAGCCCTCCATGAAAGGCGTCGTCGCCATCTGCAGCGCTTGGATGCCCTTCACGTACCTCGCGGTGACACAGGCGCGCCACAGGCGCGCGCGGTCGACGGAGGCCACACGCCCGCCGTGCGCAACGCATGGAGTGGCCGCTTTCTGGTCGTAGAGCTTTTGGACTAGTGGGAGCCTACTACCTATGTCTTTTGAGAATCTCATGGACCAATGTGACGTGCTTTTACCCGAAGCGAAACCCGCAAAAGCTTTCAATTCTGGGCCCCGAAAAAACCATGGTCATGTTGATCTCCGAAAGATCCTCCGTTCAACATCCTCTGAACTCCGTGAGAACCCGGTCGTGATGTGCTGTGGAAAAAGTCTCGCCCAAGCGGCAAACTCTCCATGTCGAAGAGCTCGTCCAGGCGTAGCCGGACCGTCTGCCGGGTCTTCCCATCGCGGTACGCCCGCATCACTGCATCCGCCGCCTCCGCCGAAGAGGGGGCGGCAAACACGCAGAGGGCTGGCTGGCCATCCAGAAGTTGGTCAAAGAGCTGTCCCACAACATGGATCCTCTTGAATCTCAAAAATAAAACCGCCAGATCTTGGACGATTCTGGGACCATACAATTATTTTTAATCAGTCATATCTCCTGAAAGGTAGACTTGAAATGGCTAAAAATACAGAAAACGACGTTATGCGGGTGTGGTTTTTACGCGTTTTTGTGATTTGTGGTTTTCTGTGTTTTTTTTGAAAATGTTAGTTGTTTTGAAGAACGTGTCTAGCAAATATGTCGACTTGTAATCTATCAAATTTCTCATCAATCTGATTCAAACATACTAGTTCTCATTGATTCCCACACAGAAGTCCATCAACCATCATCTATCAGCAAGTCCACGACATCCCATCATACAACATCAGGTCATCACCTCTATGAGGGAGATCTGGTCTCCAAGACCTCCAATCTCAATCAGTCCTCAATCTCCAGCAACTGGGACCTGGGCCTGGGCTTCTCTAGGGGGGGGGGGGGGCCCAAAAAAAAAAAAAAAATGGCAATTCCAGGCCCGGAGTTTTTTTTTTTTTTTTTTTGGCCCCCCCCCCCCCCCCCCTAGAGAAGCCCAGGCCCAGGCCCCACCTGGAGATTGAGGGCTCATTGTCAATTCCACGAGCTGGAAGTGGCCCAGGTGCTAGAGATAGATAGTCAAGATTATTGGTTTCATTATAGCTACCTGTGTAAGAGTAGCAATTCCACCACAACTTCTTATCTTCCTCTCGTCTGTTTGAAGTCTGCTCCTGCAAGCACTTACTTGTATATACTGTAGGCTCTATGTGGTGAGGGAGGATACCTATACTGTATGGTCTCAATGATGGAGTGTGGAAGATTGTCTTGATTTGATGGCTTAAGATATCCAATGAAAGAAAGAGATGGGCATATAGCTAGAGAGCATAGGAAAATGGAACTTCCAATGTGGATGAAATGAGATGAGATGAGATGAGATGAGATGAAGCATTGGGTGCATCAAACAGCTGGCATTGGGCTTGTGGCTGTATGCGTGCAATTTCATTTGAGACCAAAGGCGGTTGCGTAGATGCAACACCTGGGCACGAGAGATTGGGATCCTGACTTTGAGCAAATTGTTTTGCCATACAAGCCATTGAGCAAATGCTCTAGACAGCAGCACAATATGGATGGTGCTTCGATTGGGTTTGATTGTCCTCCAAGAACACATGGGCACCATGTGAGAGGGAAACTTGCTGGGCAATCAATGATGGGGATGGGGTCCATGGAATGCCTGGTGCAAATGGGTTTGTGCATGATTAGGTGGCCCAATGGAAGATCAGAACCATTTGGGTACAACATTGGTTGCTCCTTATGATTCATGCTATTGGTAGGGCAATTTTTTTTGCACAATCTATTGGTTTACTTTTGGGTGGGTGTTGGTGAGGTCCAATGAGGTTTTGAGCTTGGGTGGCATCGCGAGAATGTCCTTGGCAATGTTGGGTGAATATTGGGAGCATGCTGAGCATGCCAGGTTTGGTACAACCTGACTTCATGTATGTCTATGTGTGGGCAAGAAGGTTAGGGTGAAGAGAAGGTAGCCTTGGGAATGAGTAGTGGCCACACAGCCAATTCAGACCCTCAGTGTATCTAAGGCTGGATCATTCCATGGGCTTCATAAGATTCTTTGGAAGATTTCGTCATAGATGGGGGGATATGGAGCATAGATCTGAAGAGCCATTGGGTGAGAGCAGTGGAGATGAGCAGGATTGGTCCAATCGAACTTGTGGGATAGGATGTGAGCTCCCAAGTGACCCTGAGAATGAGGATGAGGCTTATTATGGGTATGGACGTCAAGAAGGCCATGCAAAACCCAATTCCAATCAGTCATCCAGGTCCAGTACTACTAAGCAAGTTTCTCAACTTTTGTTGGGCGTGGTGGGCACATTGTGTTTCAAGATAATGATCTTCTCTCCATTTCATAAAGAATGTGGAGGGAGAAGTCCATTTCATAAAGAATGTGGAGGGAGAAGCCCAAAAAGTGCTACCTTTGAAACAATGAGAATGCTTTATGGGCAAGGAAGGGTAGAGTTGGATCCAGAGGTTTTTTAAACAAGAAAAGTTGGTTTTGTTTAGGAAACAGGAGCACAAGAACATATCTAGACTATAACCATGGAAACTCTGACTAAACATGACAAAATCTAAGAAAAACACCACAAAAGCACGTAAAAACCACACCCGCATAACGTCGAGCTCTCTAAACATACTACAAAAAAAACGCCCCCACCTCACCTTGCTTTCTGGTTATTAACCCCTCGAAGTCTGAAATGGGAGACGTATGGAGACATCTTCATGATGCGAATGGTGCGCTTCTTTTCAGAGCATAAACCTTGTTTTCTGGGTAAGTTTCCGGGGGGTCTGTCCAACGGCAAGAGAACCAAAAAAGGTCGGACCAGACGGGTCATGTCCGGCTCTGGCCCTGAGAGGCTCCGACTGGGCTCTGGAGGGGATGGACCAATCTTGAGCTTCGAACGCCCAGGGTAGGACAGATGGGAAGGTTCTGAAAGAATCTGTGTTCTTAGTGATCCCGCAAGACCATCTGCATTGAAAGCAGTATGGACAAATAAACTCTGAAATGGGGTCTCAACCTGGGCACGGGGAATTGATCAATTTGTTGGACTATGTAATTTAATGTAGCAGCGCCAAACATCGCCAACGAAACAATTCAAAATAAAATAAAATTATTGTAAAATCAATTGAACAGTGCATCTCCACCTTCAATCTCAGTCTCCAAAATCTACTCCAGACATCAGTCCTGAAACCACTTTCCAAAGGAAACCTCAACATGCGCAAAAAGGCACATGGAGGCATGGAGGCAGTTTCCAACGTCGGGATTGTACGGAAAAAGGGATGTATCCTGATTTGGCTTGACGCCGTCTGTGGCGCAGGGCCCCCCCGGCCCGGGGTTTGCTTGGGTGATCATTCCTGGATGCGGAAGAGGATCGATGCAGCCCAGCGAGGTTCGATTCCTACCTCACGGGTCGATCCGGAGCACACTCCACGTCCACCACGTCCACGCCCACCCGTCCACCTGCTGCGCCATCTCTTCAGGGGATTCGGGCAACGGGGGCGGCCCGTCCGCATCCCAGGAGAAGGTCGGCAGATCCTCCGTGCGAGTTGTTCCGCGGACGGAACAAAAAGTCCGGGCGGTCGCCAGATCGGCCAGATCGGCTTGAGGAGCGATTTCTCATCGCAATCTCTCTCCTAGCTATAGCTAAAAGAGTATTTTAAAGAATGTCTAATAAGAGTCTGGTCGATCTATGTTGCAGCGAAATCCCTCGATCTCACGATCCCTCCCTACTCTTCACTGCCCCTTCCCCCACCATCCCGGTCACCACCCTGAAAAAGTGCCCTTTCTGCTAAGCCCCACCTCCTCCTCCGCCTGCAAGGCCACTCGGGAAGACGCAGGCGCCGAAGCTGATGGTTTTCTCGCTGGACTCGTTGAGGAGAAGAAGCCCACGAAGGAGAGCGACCGAAGAAGCAGCACAGATGCCAGCAAAGGCAGCAACCAACTGCGTCCCGCCATGGCAAGGCTGTTTCAGGGCTCAGTTTCAGAGCAGAGAGGTCGAATCAGTTGGAGGGGATGGATTTTCATGAGGTGCTGGGTTGGGCAAGCTTGAACATGATGTCTGCTGTTCATCTTGATGGCTGTATCATGGCGGGGGTTCTGCTTGTCTTTCATGGGCCTACGCTGATGTTTGGCACGGAGCCAGCGGCAAGCGATGGAGACATGGGGTTCTGGGTGTGTTGGGGCGACCTTTTGGACCCATAAACACTGATTGGACGCAGAACGGGCGCAAACGCTGTTGAATCAGAACGGCGGTCGCGGCACACCTTTTTCCGCGGCACACGCGGCACCACGTGGGGAATCGAACCTCCGCACCGGGAGAAGGTCCAGCAATGCTCGTTGTTCTGCGGTGGTTGAATTGGAGAGAAAGCGGCTGAGACATCGAACGAGGTGTTTCGAAGTTCCATGGGTCACTTGGAGGGATCCGGGGGTTCCCATGAGAGTTGATTCCGGAGGATTGATGGGGAAGGATTGATGGAACTCTGGACCATGACAGTTCCTGAGCGCTGCCGCGGAAGTTCTATAGAGGCCCGTGTCTGCGCTCTTCGCAAATTATGGGCTGGTCAAGATCCGCAGAAAAGCTATGAATGGAAACTTCTCCCTGGCGCTTGCGAAACAATGCCAAAAATGCCGTTTCAAGCCGTTTCGGTGGACATCGACGCGCATTGAGAGAATGGAGATCGTTTTCCTTCCCGCCCTTACGGTGGCTTTTGTTCAAAGAAGACACAAAGACCAATGGAAACACCGAAAATGTCCACTTTTGAATGGAGATGTTCACATGCCAGCTGACTCCAGTGTTGCTATGGTGCGGAAGCAGTTAGGTGTCAAAGACTTCTCTCGAGGATCTGCATCAACTCCCACCCTTGCACTCGTTTCTGTTCATGGAAGTCTATAGGTATCTCACCAGCGGGGTGAGGGGGATCCCTTTATTTGCCCAACACATCCATTGGGTGTCACCGATGGGATCGAGACGGTCATTCTTGGCGCGGATGGCCATGGCTGTCTCAGAGTTCGGGTTGTCCCACCCTAGCCATCCTTGGCTGTGTATCTTTGAACAAGTTATAACGGCGCATGGATTAGCTGATTAGCTCATGTTTCTTTGGATCCAAGAAAATCCAAGAAGTCGAAACTGTTGACGTGCTCAGGCAGAAAACAAAATCGGCCAATCAATAAGTTCCGCTTGAACTTGCTTTATAATTAGAATAATGACGTCGAAGAACGCCAACAAACCGAATCCACAGAAGTCTGCAGAACTCTTCAGCACTCCAAGTGGTTTCCCCCAACCTGAGACGTGCCCAATTCCTCCTCTCCATCGCTATTAGGCTATGTACATCTCCACGGCGGGTCACGCGGGGGGGGGGTCATTTGCATCCACCTGGGTTGCGGCCGTAGTGGACGGTGGAGTTCGTTTTGAAACAAAAACCCTAGGCTTCCTGGCCCACCATTGGTTTAATGACGGAACCACCATTGGACCATTGTGTTACTCAGGATTTTACACTACACAACCACGTCGTTCCCATTTTTTTATTGGCCTTTGGAAGCCTATAGGGAATTCAAGCCGATGTTCGGGGTGTGTCAATCTCCGATGTTCTTTTAAACATGGACGATGACGATGATGTTACACCTCATTTAGGGTCCAACTCATTTGGAACTCCCATTTCGGGCCGGTTTCACCGGCGGCTTGGAATTTGGGGGGGCGTGTTGGAAGTGCACACCATGCGGGTTTCCTTTGGTTACATCAATTACATCCACCAGGGTTGAACATGACTGTCTGCTCCGCAGGTCAAAAGTTGGGGGACTCAACAAAACAGGGACTGTTTCGGTGAACCCATTCCTTGATGTTTCGGAAGGTGAACTGAAACCCCAGGCATGGTGGGGCAGATTGGGTTCCTCACCCCAGACTTGATTGGTCCCGGCCGGACACCGAATGGACGCTCCCGTCACCCTGGGCGCCCCGGCGCTTCATGGCCAGCACCGGCGCCCGGCGGGCCGAGAAGCCGGGAATGCGCTTCGGCATCTTCTGGAGCTCCTGGCGATGAACCGCCGGCGGAGACACCGGCGGACACTGGCAAGGGGGGTGGGGAACCATCAGTGCCGCGCTTTGGGGTGCTGGAAGAACAAATCCACAACTCCCTTAGGCCCCAAGCCACCAAGCTAGCAAAGTGGATAGTGGATTCGATGTGAACCTCTACCTCGCCTTGGTGGCGAATCGTACCACGCTCCCAACGAACCAAAAGCTCGGAGTCTAAAGCCGTTGCTGGGACGCTTGACGCTTCGCCGACCGTACACGGAGGTTCTCGTTCTCTTTCGCCCTGGGGCGATCGACGAAGTTTCACACCTCAACTGACTGGTGCTTAGTAGGGGAATGACGGAATGAACCACCCCTGTAGGCCCCTCTGGATCCATTCCCATATTCCCTACGAGTCGCGCCAGTCAGTCAAGAGGAACATCTTGGAAACCATGTCAAGATAGGATGATTGATACCACCCAGGTAAGAAACCTGTTTTTTGTTGAGGGTTATAGGATGATGATTAATGATACCCCCCAGGTAAGAAACCTAATCCCTGGATATCCCGTGGGAGTTAACACGACATGTAATTCACTGTTCATCCATAGAATCCATAGTCTAGACCTGATCCCTTGGGGTGTGTTCTGAACCACGCAGAACTCCGGAGTTCCGCACTCCGGTCAGGGTGTTCCCACCTCGTTTCACCCAAAAAAAACAAAGTGTCGTGACTTTGCGAGAAAACAGAAAGGTCCTTCAAGGATATTCAAGGCGCCTAGCATGGCATCGCAGTTCTACAATCGTTGTGCCCATCCATCCATCTCAACATGTTCTTTTTCCAGAGGAAGAGCCTAGAATCCTAGATGTGTCTAGGCTCCTCGAAGGGCACCCGAGATCGGAAGAGAGAGCTGCCACATCATTGAACCGCGCAGGTTTTAAAGCTCCAGGCTCTCTCTCTCTCTCTCTTTCTCTTCGTTGGAGCTTTGTCTTGCCTTGCAGGTTTCAACAACAGCCTCACAAATGCACCCAAGGTATGGTATTCCAAACAGATCCAAACAGGCATTCCTCCAAGAAACATCCGGATCCAGCCACCGCCTTCATCGCTTGATCCTCTGAAGGCGCGAACACGTTCACTCCATCGTTTCACTCCTTGGGCCGGCCACGGCTCTGTCGAATCTCCTGCGGCGCGACGACTGCTGGGCGATCGAAGGGGGCCACCTCGTTATTCTCCACTATGCCGACGTAGAGGAATGGGTTTCGTCGGCTTACTCTACGGCTTGGGGTCATTGGCACGAACTTCTACTCTGGGAAGTCCCCCTGAGGTAGGGAATCGCCCACGGAAGCAGCAGCTGTGCACCTGTCAAGGATACCCAGTCTGTCCGAGAAGGAGTGCTTCCCGTTGTATCATTGCAGTGGCAACTTCCCCCAAAAAAAAACACGGCGGTGAAAGCCGTTAGACGAGAGTGGAAGCACGTAGAAAAAATCCGAACCTCCTCGTTCGCACACCGAACTCGTCGGAGCGGCCCCGTTCAGGAACGAACTCCTCTGCGAGTCCGGCAAGACTCTGGAAGTGGCCACTCGGTGACAGGTTGCTTGCACCTCGGTGAAAGAAAGGAAGCAGCAAGTCTCAGATCTCTTTGTAATCCTTCCAAAAGAAGAGATGCTTCGGAAGTGAGACCTCTACACTAGCCCTGTACCTCAAGAATTCTGTTGACACGAGTCTCCGAGTAGCCTTCTGAAAGCGGGAACAAGATCCCGATTCCCTTACTTCCCACCGACACCACCAGCACTTGTCGTGGTCTGCGATTGAAAAGCCATCCCTTGGAAATAGTGCCGTGGAGATGTATTCGATGTAGAACCCTCCAACAACGCACTGAGGAGGTGTTATAAGATTGTTTGACGTCACTATAGATTAATTATACTTTGGGTTGAGTTGGTTATGTAAATATTCCAATCCCATGGAGTTGTTGGGATCGGTGTCTATCTATCTATCTATCTATCCATCCATCCATCCATCCAATCTCTCTCTCTCTCTCTCTCTTGATGGATTTTTCAGGTTATCAAAATCGGACTTTTCGCTGAGCACCTTTTGGAGGCCAAACGTTTGGACAGATTCCGATCCCGATCCATGGCTATGCCAAATTCCAAGCAAAATATTTCTAACAACAATTTCTATGTGTCCAACAGGTATCTCCTGGTGACAACAGGTGCCCAGAAACCACCTGTTAGTCTCAAAACAACCTGTTGCAGGTCGTAGATCGGCATCTGCAACTTGTAAACCCCAATCTTGGTGGGTTCTTGGTGATGTCCAGGCGTTGGTTGCGTTGTTCTTTCTGTGAAAAGCGTGTCCGACTTCGGACGTTTCGTGGTCCTCTCGACGCGTCGACCAAATGCCCCAGACTCGGCGACGCGACGGCCAAAACGACCCCCCGTCAGAGGTCTGGCGAAGCCTCAAGCATTGATGTGAGGTCGGTTGAGCTAGTAGTGAAGTTACAACTATAGTGGTAGTGTAAGACCAAACTAGGAAGACTCGGATGGAAGACGATGATCAACACTAGTGACTTTGAGGTGGCAAGAGCTCGTCTGCCCCGTGGTTCGGACCGCTTTCGGCACGAGAACTCCGGGCGTCCGTCCCGACTATGAATGGGTGCACCCTGGGAGTCCAGTTGACCATCAAAGGAATGGTTTGGTCTTTTCTGATGACTTCAAGACCATTCTTTTGATGGTCGAAGGAATGGTCGATTCCTGGACATTCTTGGAGATTGGAATGGACATTCAACTTCAGTTGGAACTCCTTAAGAACTTGGAGTCCAAGTCAAGGGGTGTCCTGCAAGCTTCCGTTGGTCAAAGTATATTCGAGTCCTGGACTTCGGAAGCTCGACTTAGTATAGAAACTGTTGAGCTGAGACCCCAACTCCTCAAACACGCTTGTGTGTCTTGGGTAGCGACAAAGGTAACTTGAGTGGTGTCTCAATTAGGGTCTCAATGAGAAGTAGCAAAACATCGTGAAGCCTCAAAAAAAAAACTACCAGGCTTCCTGTGGTTGTCTGGATGATCATGAGTCCAAGTTCCAACACAAGGCCATGCTTGTGGAAATCCGCCGACCCCGTTCTAGTACCCAGAGCGCGAGCGTGAGCGGAACGGAGACAGCGTGCTCCTGAGAATAGTTCGGTATAGGTATAGCTGGGGCTTGGCAATCAACCAGCACTTTGCGAAAAATGGACAGATTTTTGACAAATTTTGGACATTGTTCATGTTTGAAGTGGAGTGGGGGACCGTCAGTGGTTTTTTCTCGGCACAGGCAGTGTCCAGGCTGGGGTCCTGCCTGCGCACCCCCTGGACCGGGTGTGGAAAACATGCCGAACCCAGTCTTGCATAGCGTGCGCGCGCGGGACCATGCGGAGATACCTAGGAAATCCTTTTGACCCAAAAAAATCAATAAGGGAAATAGCGGCTATTCCCTTTGTCCGCGGACATTTCCTGAAGCCACGGAAATTCCGAAATCGTCCAGTCTGTCCGCGGGTTTTCCCTTTCTGATACTGCATCGGTAGAAATGGATTGAGACAGTTCTGCACAAAGCCTATCCAACAGTGAATCACCAGTCGTTGGATGTTCATGGGAGGACAGGCGACAAGGATGACACAAGTCCCTATGTTGGCATGACACAAGTCCCTCTGGGGTCGACGACCGCGGGCGGTAGCCCCTTAAATCCGGGCGCCGGCCAGGACGCCCGTGGCATGCCCGGAGGGCCTTCGGTGGTAACCGAAGGTTATAGACGCTCGCCCCCCCCACCCGCCGACCCTCGCCACGAAAAACGGGATGGAACACCGGGTCAGTGATATCAACGTAATTTACAGTGCTTCATGTGTGTGAGGTACAAAAAATACTGTGCTTTACGGGGTTTATTGCGCATATCGAAGTACGACGCGGCGAAGAAGGAGAAATGCAAAAACGCTGGGTTTTTCAAGGGTGGTGTCGGTAATGCGCGCCGGGTGGACAGGCATAATCGACATTTTGTGGGTAGAGGCCCTCCAGACGACTTAACTTGCCTAACATATCCCCAACATAGGCCCAAGATACCCAACATATCCCCAACATATGCCCAACATAGCCTCCAAGATGGCTCAACATAGGCGCAACATAGGCCAACATGGGGCCAACGTGGAGCCAACATACGCCAACATAGGCCCAACGTAGGCCCAACCTAGGCCTTGGCCAACATAGGCCTAACATAGGCCAACATAGGCTCAACATGGGCCCGGGCCCAAGATGTGCCCAACATAGACCACATGGGCCCAACTTGCCCCAGCCTAGGCCCAGTACGCCCCCGATAGCTTGACGTGCACCCGACCCAGCCCTACACAGACCCTAGTGGGCCGGCGCCCGGCTGTTAGGCGTAAGCCTTTAAATCCGGGCGCCGGCCACGCGCCCGTGTCCTCGCCGGAGGCCTTCGGTGGTAACCGAAGGTTATAGACGGTCGCGCCCCCTGCCGCCGACCTTCGGGACCAAAACGGGGGGACCACCGGGTCACTGATGCCCCTGTAATTTACAGTGTTTCGTGTGTGTGTGTGAGGTGTAAGAAACACTGTGTTTTACAGGGTTTTGGGCCCCTCGGCGGCCGAGAATTTCATCTTGGCGATGTCAAAAAACGTAGGTTTTTCCAAGGTTTTTGCTTTACGGGAAGGAAAAATCGGCCGAAAAATGTCTCGCAATATGTTTTCAACATAAATTGCCTCACATATCCCCAACATAGGCCCAAGATAGCCAACATATCCCCAACATATGCCCAACATAGCCTCCAAGATGGCTCAACATAGGGCCAACATAGGCCAACGTGGGGCCAACATACGCCAACATAGGCCCAACATAGGGCCAACCTAGGGCAACACAGGCCAACATAGGCCTAACATAGGCCAACATAGGCCCAACATAGGCTCGACATGGGTCCAAGATGCGCCCAACATAGACCACATGGGCCCAACTTGGCCCAACCTAGGGCCAAGATGCGCACCAGATAGCTTAACTTTGCTCAATATAGGCCCCACCAAGGCCAACATAGGCGCGACATGCGCCCCACAGACCCAAATGGGCCGGCGCCCGGCCGTTAGGCGTAAGCCTTTAAATCCGGGCGCCGGCCAGGAAGCCCGTGGCATGCCTGGAGGGCCTTCGGTGGTAACCGAAGGTTATAGACGCTCGCGCCCCCTACCGCCGACCCTCAGTCCCAAAACGGGGGGACCCCCTTCCCACTTCCTGTTCACTGAAGCCCCTGTAATTTACAGTGTTTCGTGTGTGTGTGTGAGGCAAGGTATAAAAAACACTGTGTTTTACAGGGTTTATTGCGCATATCGAAGTACGACGCGGGGAAAAGGGAAAAATGCTAAAATGCTGTGTTTTTCAAGGGTGGTGTCGGTAATGCGCGCCGGGCGGACAGGCTTAATCGACATTTTGTGGGTAGAGGCCCTCCAGACGACTTACATTTCCTAACATATCCTCAACATAGGCCCAAGATAGCCAACATATCCCCAACATATGCGGGGATGGTTGTTGTTGTTGTTGACGACCCAGCAGCCGCCCTTGATGCAGACGAAGCCCCCCGGTGAGGCACGCATTTCCAGCATTATTTGTGCCTATGTTGGGCCCTATGTTGAGCCATGTTGACCCATCTTGAGCCCCAAGCGCGGAAAAATGGAAGAAGCAGCAAACACTGTAAAATACACAATTCCTGTGGGGTCGAGCAGGGGTCGGCGGCTGGGGCGGGACTCCCCTCTCTCCTTCACACAAAAGAAACTACCTACGGCAAGGACACGGCCAGCGGGCCCCTGGCCGGATATACGCTCGCCGCCCCTGCCCCCGACCCGACCCCCGCCCGACCCCCGCCCGAATCCGGTCGACAGATTTCTATGTATCTACCAGGTTTTTTGCGCAGGATGATCAAAAACATCGTTTTTTACAGCGTTTCGTGGCCTTCGGCGGCCACGACTTTCGCCTAACAGGGCGCCGGTGGTGTCGGTTACGCGTGCCGCGCGGACAAGCTTAATCGACATTTCGCGCGTGTTGGGGACGCGCGAACAGCAAAGGCGGAACATGTGCTCCAAGATGATCTGACAGAGGCCCTCAAGAGGACCCAACATAGTCCCAGATACGGCACACATAGCCGCAAGATGACCCGACCTAGGTCTCAGATATGGGAAACATAGCCCCTCAAGATGTGGCAACATAGGCCTCACACAGTCTCAAAAAGAGAGAGAGAGAGAGAGAGAGACAGAGACAGAGACAGAGACAGCGAAGACAGAGACAGCGAAGACAGAGACAGAGAAGACCGAGACAGAGACAGAGAAGACAGAGACAGAGACAGACACAGAGACAGAGACAGAGACCGACAGAGAGAGGGGAGGGAGAGAGGAGAGAGACAGAGAGAGAGAGAGAGAGAGAGAAAGAGAGAGAGAGAGAGAGAGACCGAAACGGAGACCGAGACAGAGACAGAGACAGAGACAGACAGAGAGAGGAGAGGGAGAGAGAGAGAGTGAGAGAGAGGGAGAGGAAAGCGAGAGAGAGAGAGAGAGAGAGACAGAGGGGGACAGAGGACCCGGCCCTGCACGGACCCAAACCCAAATGGGCCGCGCCCGGCTGTCAGGCGTAAGCCTCATAAATCCGGCCAGGGGCGATGAGCCCCGTCAGGGCCGTGTACGTCCAGGGGAGCTCTCCTTCTGCGAAGCGGAAAGCAAATCCGCCCCCAGCCGTGGGACCCAGAAAACCCAGTGCTTTTGATGTGTTTTTTCCGCGCTTGTTGCTCACGATGGGTCAACATAGCCCAACATAGGCCCAAATAATGCTGGAAGTGCGTGCCGCACCGGTGTGCTTCGTCTGCATCGTGGGCGGATGCTGGACAAACATGGACCCAAGCTAGGCCAACATGGGCTCAAGCTGAGCCAACATGAGCCCAAGATGGCCCAAGCTAGACGCAAGCTATGCTCAACATAGCCCCAAGACCGCGCAACAAAGGCTCCAGATGGCCTAAGCTAGACCCAAGCTGTGCGCAACATAGCCCCAAGCCCGCCCAACATCCACTCCCTCAGCCTGCACCCGCACCCAATCTTCCACCCTCCAGCCCCCTACCTCAACGCCCCTGGCCGGCTGTCGGGCGTAAGCCCTTAAATAGAACTAATATTGATATATATATATATATACATACATACACATTATAGTAATATGCATATAATGTTTACCAAAAAATATCAAGAGTAACGACGACTGTCTAAACAAACGACTGGACTCCGAAACGCCCTAGCACATCCGGTCTCTCCAAGCCGCGGTCGCGCCAGCCCACAAAGTTCCTGGGCACCGTCCAAACGGACCACCGGCTCGGCCGAGGTTTCGACGGAAAACAAGGAGCAAGGCTTCATCGAGTCAAGATGTTGCATTCTATGGAGGTTTGAAAGCTTCGTCTTGACCAAAAGCTGTGGGAAAGAAATACGAGGACAAGTTAAGGTGAGGCGCTGGTGCTCCTCTGTCAACAACTTCAGTCGGATGCAAACAATTTCTCCCAACTTGACGACCCGTGACTGCTTGGGCCTTCTTGTGCTCAGACAGAGAGAAAGAGAGAGAGAGAGAGAGAACACCCGAGAATTTGGTGCAGAAAAAGGGAGCACATTCATTTGCTTTGACCCTGAGGAGTAATTCTTCCCCGCACACCACAGCGCTGACCTTTCTCAGGTGGACGAAAACAAAAGCAGTAAGTGAAGCGGCGACTTCGACAGTGGTTGACCAGGTCCGGACAATCCAAATGGACTGCACTCCCCAAACTAACATGGTACAAAACTCTATACAAGTCCGGTTATGTGATTAGCAATGCCTTCCCCCCGCCAGGTCGTTCCAATCATTTCTCCTTAACCGGGTGTTCGAACAACATCGCGAAAACCGTAACACCTGAAGACACGGCGGAGGAGCTCTCTGCACTGGAGCTCGCTGCAGACACCTCTTGTTCTGGACGCACGGGCATCTCTCAGAAGCTTGGCTATACGAAGCCAAGTTTTTCTCAAGACAAGGACAGCCCGGAAGAACTCAGCTCTTCCACGCAAATTCAGATCGTCCTCTTGCAGGGAACCCATGTAGCCGGAACATGGCAACTTTGTGCACTGATCACTGAGACTAGACAGACTTAGATTTTGAAACATTTATATATATATATATTAATATGTATATTATATATATATATGTCTATTATATATATATATGTATGTGACAGATGAGGAATCAAGAACTAGCTGTGGCTGGGTCCCTCTGACAGTTGAGTCTTTCAGCTTGTCTGTTTCAAGAACAATGGGATGATCATGCGGATGTATGGATGGCGGCGAGCTTCCGATTGCAATGCAGTGTGCATCTCCTCCACATCCTCAATGGAAAGGTGCTCTATAATCGTCTTCTTCATGCGCCTGCGTCGATCCTTCCTTGGCCGAGAGAAGGCATCCTTGTTCATTGCCGGATGATCTTGGTGACAAAAATCACACTGAATCCCTTTCACGCATCCACGAACTGATGCAAAAAATACACAAGGGTCACCTTGGATTTGCTGGTCCAAAAAAAGCCGGGTTTGAAAAAGGAAGAAACACATCTTCCCCAGATTTAAAAAAAAACAGGGGTTCAAAGATCAACCCGGTTCCTGGGGATTGAACCTGGTCACTGGGTGATAAAGATCGTTTTGGGGATTCAGCCCAGGTGGGGAAAATCAAAAATCCGATCTGCAGAACCACGTCACAGGTGCCCTTGACGTGGCCTTCCATCTCCTGCTCGGTTGTGGCACCGCCTTTCCTGGTCTTCTCGGAGGTCTCCGGCGTCGAAGTCTCCATGAAACTCAACTCAAACCAACTGGTCCTCGAAGCCATCCTGAACTGAACTGGGAGCTGTTACACAAGTCCCAGCTTCGAGCCGAAGAAACACCTGCTGCGGCCGAGCTTCCCGCGCGCCAAGAAACATGACGTGACCCGCGGATTTCACGTGACCCGCGGGCGTGATCCGGAGAGATCGAGTCCGATCAACCCAGATGTATCTTCGAACTCAGGCCTGGCTCCCTTCTGAAAAGCCAGAGAGTGGTTGGTGGATCAATAATACATGACTTCTTTCGAACAAGGCGTTGGTATTGAGTTCTTGAGGCCAAAAATTAAAAAACAATTGGATTCTGTGGGCCGGGTTTGTGGCGGAGTGGGGATGAGGACGTTAGTGCAAGACATATGATGCATTCCAAAGACTTTTTCTGCGACCAATTCATGAAGCCGTGCGCCTAACCACAGGCAGTCCCCAAGAAAGGTAAAGATTCTCTTTCTCCCTGCCAAGGCACGGATGGCAGTCGCAATATGGACAGGAGGCCACAATGGGTTTGCCCTCTCTGTCCTCAGGACTCGGTGAAACAACCGCCCGACGACTTCCCGCACCGGGCTGACTGCTTCGCAAGCCGACGACTTTACACCGGTGAGGTGAGGCAAAGAAAATGGGTTCGACATGGTAGAACTCTCTGGCCAAGCCTGGGCTGACTGTTTCTTGACCGACCCAAAAACAAGAAGGCTCTCTTTGATCTGATCCAGGAACTGGGCCAAAACAGCTCATGAAATCGTCCTCAGCCTGGCGGGCACCCAGCTCCTTCAAGTCACTACACTATGACCGGTTTTACTGCAAGACAACACGTTGTTGCAGACCATCCCAACCCATTGACACTAGTCACCCATTTTGTAAGGCACCGACCCCATGAGTATATGAGTATATGAACGTCGTTGAACAGGTGACTTTAGTCCTCGGATGCTTGGGTGGTGCAGGACCCTGTGTGGGCTGAAACTTTCATCTCCTCTTCTTCTCGGCAGGTCTATTCAGAGGAAGCAAGAGAAAACTGAACGAGCATGTGTTAGGCATTGTTGGGCTGTAATGTATGGAGTGAATGACGCCACCTTGAAGGAGTGTGTGTGTGTGTGTCAGTAGTGTATATATACATAATATATATGTATATGTATATATGTTGTTTGTTTTACTTATATACAACATGAAAGAACAACCATACACGGGAATCGAGATCGTCACTCCTTTGCTTCTCCGCCCCATGCCACCCGATACGCTGAGCTGCCAGGAAGGTATTCTTCACCTGAGCCACCCGCGGTCACCCGCGGCCCCAGTAGATGGTAGGTTCAGATTTGAATCGTCTGAGAGAAGAACTTATTCCAGTTCCAATGCCCAAAGCTTTCCAACGTGTGCATGTGGCATCCCTATGTGTCTATGAGTCTGTGTCTGTGTCTCTCTGTCTCTGTGTGTGTGTGTGTGTCCGTGTGGCAGCCATGTTCCAAAGAATTGGCCAAGAGGAGAGAAGTAGAGATGGCTCCAGAAACCTCTTTTCAGAGCAGAGATTTCTAGACCTGAGAACCCACTTAGAGTCCCTTGTCTTCGCAGCCCTTAGATGAACTCGACGACTACTTCGGGCTTCGCATCGCAAAGAGAACACCTCACAGCATCACATCTTACCACACATAGGTTAAGTGACCTTATAGGACCCGTAACCTGAGGTATCTATGGGATAGTCGAACTAGGGTAACCTGACCCACCCCTGTTGGCTGCTTCCCGTGAATGGTCGCATCGCTTTGTTGCCCCCAAGTCCAAAAAAAAACACATATCGTCTCACAAGGAAGACCAACTCGTCGCACTGACAACACGGCATAATCACCAAAAAAACAAAGCCCACCACTCGCCAGTTGTCTCAATATCACCCGAGATTGCCACCTATATAAGTATATTACTATATATATATATTATGTGTTCTCAATGTGTTGGGGGGCAATCTCTGTTCTGTACTCATCTGAGCTCCTTTACTGGATGTCGCCACTTGCCCCTAAAACTACTCTCCCCGCAGAAGGAACCATCTCTCCCCAAGCGAAAGCAGCGTGCCTTCATGGACCGCAGGAAAGTCCTTGGATGGAACCGTGAAATGAAGAATCTCACCTTTGTATTAGTGCTCTTGACTAGGAGTGTCTGGTCACAGAGCACTAGCTAGGCAGTGATGGTTGTGATGGGTTGTGTTGGATTGTAGATTGGTTTGTGAATCGTTCACCTGCAAGCTATGGCCGGTGTCATTAATTATGGCCGGTGTCATGAATTCCTCATGTCCTCAATCTAACGTAGACTCAACTACCATTGTAAGTTTAATCATAGTGATTCATACGTGTTGGTGATAGAACTGAACCATGACATGGGGTCTCTTGCATTCTCAGGTCACCTGGGTCAGTACGTGAGCCCCAGGGACTCGTTCGTTCAGAAGAGCCTCACGTGGTGATCATGGCTATGGACATCCAAATCGAGGATAGCCATCCCCGAATCTTAACCGTGTGCCGATGGACATGCTCTCGGTCCACACGGGCCGGCCAGGTGGTACCGTACATCTTCGGTCGACACGTCAAACCATCGAACCCACGGTTCGGGGCCAAGAGAACATATGCTTCTCCTACAACCAACAGTCTCTCCGTAGGTGTCCAAACTTGTTTAATGCATGTTTAATGGAGGGTAACTTGGTCCTGACCCCGAACTCCGTTGAAAACACACGGAGGATCGTTGGGAACGCCCGGGAGTCGCCCCCAGTGAGTTCTCCCGTTCAGCTTCAGATGCTCTGATCGGTGGGCATCGGAATCCAACGTTGGCCGTTGGGGCGAAATGGGCCGCTGGAGCTCGGAAGACTTCAGATGAATATAGCTTCAGGGCTTCAGTCCCAGTAATGCAGACTCTTGATTCACCAAAACCCTTGATATGAAGAGGTTTTTCAATCCAAACCTTGGGAGGTGGTTATTAATCAAGAGTCTACATTACGCTCAGCTTCTTAGCTCAGTTTGACTTCCGGCCTGGGGCCGATCATCTTGCCAAACCACATCTTGGATTTGCGGAAGCGGGAAGAAATCTATCGGTCTTCCGCATGGCCAGGGGATTCACCCAGGTCGGGAAATCCACCAATCACCTGATCCGCATCCCAACCACATCTCTACCGAAGCCGATGGCATGGGGATGCCGTCCCTTGACGGGTCCCAGGCACAAGGTCACTGGAGCCTCGATGCGCCCCTCGCGCAGCAGCCGCACGCCTGGAGATCGGAGACGTTCGGAAGGCCTAACCAACCAGCTGTTGGTCTCGCCAGAAGCCTACAAGGATGGATAAAAAGGAATGTCTAACATGTGTCTAACTAGTAACACCTTGAATCCAAGTCTATATACAAGGATGGGCACTCATCTAGGTTGATTCAAGGTCATGGTGAAGTGTACAGCCGCTTACTCTATTGAGGACTCCAGAGAGAAAGTCGTCCACAGAGGGCTCTGCAGCGGCCTTCCCAGTTGAAGCTTCATGTTCCCAAGAATACACACGAGAACTTGAGGTGAAACCTGAAAAGGATTGAAAAGGTGCGTAGCGCGCTTAGGTGCCTACCAGACCTGGGTCAAAGTCAGAGACCTGGGTGCCTGCCCACGCTCTTCCAAGGTGTAAGCAGCAGGTCTGGCAAAAGACCTTCCAAAAAGCCTGAGGTCGGTCCACTTCCAATGTATCCTGATGCCAAAACAGGATTGATGTGGTTTAATGAGTTTGATGTAGCAAAGATGTACTGCGGCAACGTCTGCTTGTCGGCCAATGAACAATTAGATGCCTGACTCCCGGAACAAAAGCACGGTGTTGCGAAACACCCCCACATACCATGCGCGCGCCTGTTCCCGCAAATGCCATCCCCTGCGGGGCAGCCCAGCGCGCCTGCGCAAGGGCTGTGACCCTCCAATGGGCCCTGCATCTGCAAGGTGTCTCCTCTGGTCGGGGCACGTGCGAGGCGCGTGCCGCAGAAAAGGACACGTCGTCACGCAAGTGCGAGATGACACGCCAACTCGGGTCGAAGATGACAGGTCAATCTGCCGCTTGCAGCACTAGTGACATGGCAGCTCAGGAAAATAAAAAAAAAAGTCAAGAACAGCTGATTTGAACAGTTCAGAGGCTCCTAAGCCATTTGTTACCCCTCTTCAGGTCAAACCTTCGTGTGCACCACCGATGATCCAAGTTGGCTGTTCCGTCACAAGAAGCATCAAAAGAGCCGTTGTCCTTTGCATGTCCATGTGGAAATTATCCCATCAAGTCAATGACGATGACGAAACTTCTAGGGTCCTAAGGGTCCCAAGGATGACGTCGACCCAAATCGACTCCGTCTTCCCCTCCTGCATTGAGTTTGTCGAGCGCAAGCCGCACAGGCCTGGACGTATGTCCGGGCGGAGGTGAAAGCAAGTGAACTACCGGTAGTGTGACTGGAGCGAAGCCACGGTACAGTACATATGATGTATATTCAGTGATGATAGTAATTATTGATTTTTATATAGATCCTACTTTTCTTCGAGAACGGAGTACAGGCGCATAGCTCCACGATGTTCTACCCCAAACAGTGCGCCAAATACCAAGGCTTCTTTGTCCAAATATCAAACATTAAAACAATAATGAACAAACCAAACTGTCACCCGCTAACTCCCAGTTCCACTAACTCCCAATTCCACACCCTCAGACCCACCCAGGTCTGCCTGTTTGCCACTCCGTCATCAGTGAGCATTAAACCCAACTCTGCCAGCAACTCGCCACTCTCCACCCTCACATGCGCAAAGCGTGAAGTTGTGTGATGCGCACCGTGCAGTCTTTTTTGGAGGTCTGGTATCAGTCATTCTCGTGGTTTCAAAGAACAGGGTCGTTGGTATGCCATCAATCAATCATTTGGCATGGTCTTTACATGGAATTTTGTGTAGAGGATCTTTAACATACTTCTTTGTTGCCCTAGGGCTCCAACCACATCCCCAGCTTCGGAGGTTGGGGTGGGTGCCAAGGGGGGGTCTAACCACCGAACCTGAGGATATGGTTGAAGCCCTAGGGTTTGGTACCGAACCCCCAAGCGACCTGAAACGACTCACCTCGGGGGTCCTGGCGGTCGGGTCCTGCCGGAGAACGTGGGTTTGGACTTCGAGAGCTGCGTTGCGTTGAGACCCCAAATGAATGGATAGACTGGTCTACTTCCCTTCTACTCCAGGGGTCGTTGCCTGAGAGGTCTCCAAATGTTTGTTTTAACACACCCTACATGTCCTGATGCAGCCTCACACATCAATTCCGACGACGACACCAAGCTTTTTCGGGGCTTGAACGGCTCGGATGCTGCTTGGAAATCGGTCATGTATTGTTCACGAAAGAGCTGGTCATCAAATGGTCATGCCGGACTTAGTGGAGGCCACACCATCCTACACTATATATATATATATACAAACCCTGTTTGCTTTTTACCCTGGAAATCCCCTACATTGAAACTTGTCTTTTTGGCGATCCAAAAAGGAATGTCTTGCCTTCGGTCCCCCCAAAATCGTCGACCTGGACTTCTAGGGTCTAAGCAATCCAAGTCGGACCGCAATCGGCTCATCCACTCCGCACACCGCACCTCAAGGACTTCAAGAGAGTCTCGTTGGGCTTGCTCGGCCACTGCGCCTTTGGAAGTCCGCGCGCGCTCTCTCTCTCTCTCTCTCTCTCTGTGGGCGGGTCCGTCGGCGCGCCGGCGTGGTCAACAACCCCCTACTAATGTTCGGTTCGGGAAATAGACCAGTCTACCCAGCTAGGGCCATGGCCCCCCTTTTAAACCACCGGGAAAAAGGGAAGCGCCACGCCGGCGCACCGTGGGATGTCGGGCTGGGCCAGGTAGGTCGTCCACCGACTACCGCGGAGGCGACTCACGGCACCAGGTAGGTCAACCCGTTAGGCTGGTGCCAGTCTCCCCACAGCTATTTTCTGTGGAGAAGGACTCAAGGAGATGACTGGAAGTACCTGGATCTTCCAACTGTCCAGAAACCATCTATAAAACCATAAGGTGTTAACCTTATCTCCAACCATAAGGTGTTTTAATATTCTATCTGCCAGCTGTTTACTATAAGTTCGGTAGAAGTTGTTACACCGTTGGAAGATCCAGGCATATCGCCCAGATCTGTTGTCCCATTCTGCTTTCTGCGCCAGCAAATGCGTGGCCGTCTCGGCAGACATCCAATCTGCTGTGGGTCCTCCCCCCCAAACCCTGCGCAGCCTGGTTCCGGGGTGCTGCAAGTCCAAGCTGAACAAGAGCAGTCTTCCCACTCAAAGCCACTCTCTCTCCCCACTTCCCATCTCCTCCGGCGCTCCGGCGCCCCATCTTCCTGGAGACCCACCGCTCGTTCGTCCAAGGCACCAAGCTCTTCATCAAGTCCTGGAGATTGACCAAACAAACTTGATGTCCAAACATGTTTTGACATTTCTCCTTCAATTGATGTGTTAAAAAAAGTAACAATTAAAAATAAGTATTAAAAATAGTCCATGAACCATGTCAAACATCAAACATCTTTCAACAATGCATCTTCCAATCTTCGATCCCTTCGGTCCTTCCCCCAATCCAGGGCGCGATCCGCCTCGCCCTCCGAGGACCGCGAGGAGCGCCGCTCCCCAAAGGACGAGCTGCGCTTCCGCACCGAGGCCTCCAACGCCGACGGGAAGACGAGCGGCCGAAGTGAGCTCTCGACGTGTCGTTTCCTTTTTAGGGCGGGGGAAAGGTGCTTTTGGTGTGTTGTTTTTTTTCCGTGTGTGGTGTGTTTTTGGTCCAAAAGCGAGCTTCAGTTCTTTTTTGGTGGTCCACTTCTTACATGTTGTTGCTCTGTTGGTGAAAGGAAGACCAGACGACCAGACCGTGACAGACCTTCTATATCTTCCAACAACCCTCAGATCGTTTCCACCCAAAAAGATCTGGTGGATCTGTCTGACAATGTGGGAGAAAAATTGCAAACACTACTGTAAGGTTCTAAAAAATGTTCTCTCTGGCCCGGATCAGTTGTTAGAGGCATCCCCTTTTTGGATTCGTTGAGCCAAACGGTGAGGAAGCTGACCTCCTGAAGCCAGACAGGAAGAAGAACCACGCACGTGTGTCAGAGGAGGGGTTCTGCCCCTAGCCCCAAAATGACCCCTAGCCCCTCCTGCCAATCCCACGGAAGCGTCCTTCCGTGTGACGTGGATCCATATGACACCGATCCCGAGAACCACGGACCGTCCAGCGACCCAGGAAAACCCCGTCTGCCCCCACCGGTCGACTGGACCGGTCCATGTTCGTTGACTCGGGAGTGGTTGGGATCTTGATCAGTCTCTTGATTGAGAAGATGCACAGAGTGCGGTGGCTGTCCACAAGAATGGGGGACAAAAGGGACGGCCAACGGATGGAAGTGTCATGCTTTTTGGGAAGCCAGCACAGAATCCTTGAACTCGGCGATTTTACATAAACTTGGTCTGTTGGTAGAATCATCCTGCAAAGTTGCATCTAGCTGTAGCACTACTACTACCTGGTCCTTTTCCATTCTTCTAGCCAACTGGGTCGTCGCATCTTTATCCAGAAAGCATCAGAAACTTGCTCGGCAAATCTTGGCTGAACAAGAGAAGTTAAAGAGTCCAACCGCTTCAAACATTTGAGTCTCCATCAGCATCTGTCTGGAGACCCAGACCGAAGACTACGGTTTGTTCCAAGCAAAACCGGGCCAATGATGTGACCAGCAAAACGGATCCAAAAGGTAGCGACTTGTGTGACTAGTCCTTTTTGTCATTCGATGGACTCAGGGTGAGGCGGGTGAGGTGCCTTCGGACTCAGGATGCAGGTGTTTGATGATTCGTTTTGGATGCTTTCTGGTGAGAAACGGTATGATGTACACACTTCGTGTACAATGCGTTAAATCGCATCTTCACGCGCCTGCGAGCTACTGATGAAAGCTTTGGGGTTCACGCGCACCACCTCAGGATGTCAAGACCAGCCCCAAGGTGACAGATTGGGTAGATCTAATCACTGGAGTGGATCATGATTAAATCCATTTACTGGGTGGTGCTGCGTTTGCTTTTGTCGGCCTATCTCAAAGCGACAGGGGTCCCTCCAAACCACTGGGTCTTTGTCTCCTTTCCCCTCTCCCCAAAAAATCCTCAATCTGCATCAATCTGCAGTGAGGTAACATCCCATTTTGGTCCTGGACGGGAGCCCCAAGCCTACTCTACTAAACATGAACCGCCCAACATGACCAAGAGAGTCGGCGGGTGGAGGATTGATGTCATCGATGAATCAATGTCGGAGCCGGATGTTCTAAGCAACTTCAATCTATTCCAATGTCAACTTCAAGCACTTTGAAACCTTAGTGTTGACCAAGAACCTCATGGTGAGCCCATCATGCCAGCACAGGCTCGCACAGTTCAGCCATTCACTGAGATCCTTCAGCGTTTCAGCCAATTCTGCCAGACCGGACCGGAGAGGTCCGCTTCGTTCGTGAACCCCGTTGACACCGTAGGACCGGGAGCACCTCACTCCGTCCCACTGAGCCAGTGGCACAGGCCACCAGGAAGGTCTTCTCGGCCCCTGCGACGTCTCCGGGCGCGGCAGGTGGTGCGCAGGTCGCGCAGGTCACGCAGGTCACCATGCAGACCATCCGGGAAGGACCTGTGTGAAAAGGATCAAGCCGTGGCTGTTTCAAAGATGGGTCGATGCAAGAGGGAATTGGTTGGTTCTTCTTTTTGAACCCCCCACCGAGTTCAACAGCTTGGGGGCCCCATGACCAAGCTACTCTGAAACCACTACAGTATACATGGCTGTGAGTCAAAACCCAGGTACTTTGGACCCCCCAAGAATGAACAGAATAGACTACCAGACATGGTCAACCTACCAGGAATTCGGGGCTCCGTGTGCCGAAACACCCGGTGACCATGAGTGAAGTGACCGTCGCATCAAGAATGTGTGTGAAAGCCCGATGTGGCCATGTTTGTGTGTGAAAACCGCTTGGGCCAGCCAGTCAAGATGTTGTTTCAAGAAGCTGTCGTGTTCTTTCCGGTCAAGACATACCTGCTCAAGGAAAGTCACCAGTTACGCCATGCCTGCAACGACTCCATTGTCCCGAAAGAGATGGTGACCAGTCTCCACAAGTGACCAGTCTCCTTTGTCTGAAAAATCGAAAAACACACCAAAAATACCTCCATTCCCAATAGAAAGCCTTCCAAAACCCAGGGGATTCCTTCATTCATCGAAGCTTCTCCACCTTTTTGAGGAGCTCAGGTCCTCCCACGCCCCCATCTCTTCCCGCCCCATCTCCGCCCTCGCACCTCCACGGCCTCGGGTCATCACCGGATGCATCACGCTGGCGTTCGGCATCTGGAGAGCCGATCCGAGGCGTCTGGGAGAACGGGAGAAGCAACTCCCAGTTGTAAGGATGGTCTGGAAGAAGAGAGGACCAAAAGGGTTGGAGACCTCCCTAATTCAACTGCACACCGATACCTCCTATACTCGTTCTCAGCCATATCGTCAGATCTGAGATTGACAGGTTTTGTGCCGTTTTTCTAGCCAAGCCAATGTGGAAGAATGTGTCCATCAACATGGTCAGGGAAACGGACGCCCAAAAAACAGAATCTTCTCTGGTAGCACTTCATTTGGTACATCTGATCAAAAGCCTGGTGCACTTACGAGCGCCGAAAGAAAAGAACAAAGGTCGTCCACATGGGGGATGTCAGCATAATTACCAAGAACCTTTAATCCCTGTCTTGGAGTCCGGAAAATGGCCTTGTCCTGTCCACCGCTGTGGAGCACAGCGGCCCGTCAATGAGCGAAACACTGAGACCACCACCCGCGAAGCGATGGCATTCGAAAGAGATTCGATGACCCTAGAGGTGGAAATCCCTTGGTACACAACAGGGATTTTGAATGATTTTGACCTATAGAATCCTATAGAGGTCCAGGTCATTCATGTACGTCATGTTTGTTGGAACATTCTTGCAGCTTCTGCACTGGAACATGTGTCTCTGCTGTCAAGGAACTGTTTCTTTCGTGCCCCAGCCTCGACTGCTTGTACCCATCTGATCTGCGTGATCACTTCGGAGCTATCTTTGTCCTGCGTGCAGCTGCGATGCAGTCAGCCTCTCTTTTGCGGGAGGACCGGAGCTACGGCGGAACGACGTACCAACGCCAGGTGCACGAGGCTCCGTGGCGAGGAGAGTCAGAGTCTGAGACAAGGCGAACGTTGGAGTGTGTGTTAAAGGAAAATCATTGAAAATCGACCAAAATGAACGGACTGGTGTAGGTGGCCATGATTTCTGTAAGTGGGCCAGGATCCCTCTAGACTCTTGAAAAGGATGAACTGTCAATTTGTTCAAAAGGTAGCAACTGTCAAAACCTCTGATTCTAGATGGATGCGGTGATTGTAATGTGACCATCACATAAATCCGTTGAACCAAGCGGCTCATATGGAAAGGCAGCAGTCGTCTGCCAAACCACTGGCTTCATATATCTAAGTCTATATCTGATATCTACATCCAAAAACTCATTCGTTGAGCAGCAGATCCGGATGTATTTAAAACCATCAAGAAACTTTCCCTCGGGGATCCAAGTACCTGCTCAGAAGGCACTTGGACCCTCCAAACCTACATATCACCTTCTGAGAAGGTACTTGGATCCCTAGACCTTTGCAAAAACCGCTGAGGTCGCAGCACCGAGCCCTCGTTCCCACAACGAACCACACACCTCACCTCCCTCCCCTTGCCTCCCTCCCCTTGCCTCCCAGCGCGCGCGACCCGGTCCGAGTCGGCATCCTCCGCGTCGTCCTGGTGCCGGTGCCCCGGCATCGCACCTGAGCACAACGCCCCGTGGTTCGGAGGGAGAGGTGTGTGTCCGGTTCTTTGACGAAGTGGTGGCTAAATGACTCAAGTTGAGTTCTGAGCCATGTTGTTCCGAAATGTGGACAAGTCCACAACCCATGTTGAGTGGTTGTTAGAGAAAACCTCATTCTCATGTACCAAATTAAGATATGGGTCTCGCATGGTCTCGCCACAACTAGCTACATAGTTGCAAAAGTCTACTGACCCACATGTTACTGGACATGCATCCATCAACCTTTCTAAGACAGCTGGTCACCGTGTCTTGCCTGCTTGCGGCAGAGCTGGCTTAGTGTTTCTTCTGCATCTCAACAAATCTTTCTCTCAGTGTTCACACTCAGAAAGGATACTTTGCACTTCTGAGACAAAGGTTGGCTCGAAAACTGCATACTGCATACAATCCTTGGTGAAAGCAAAAGCTGAGTTCCGATCTTGACAAGATTGGCCTCACAAGGAGCCTCCCCACTCGCCTAATGGTCTGTAAGACTCTAAGAGCCAGTCCTAGGGATCTTTTGCCAACTCAGAAAATCCATATGTCATCTCGACCTGAAAAGAAAAAGGTGAATCCAACCCCCAACGGTGGACAAATCGAGTAAAGCGACCGCACGAACGTGTCGAACACGTGCACCGAAATCTCCCGACCGAGCGTCTGAGCCACCGCAACACGGCCTTGCATTCCTCGAAAGAAAACACGAAGAAACGACGCGGAAACGCCCAAGTCGACAAAAGAGGCCAAGAAGAATGCCTTCGCTTTCACTGAGCAACTGGAGCGCCCAATATATATATATATATATTATATATATATATATATATGTGTGTGTGGATTTTACATATATATATATATACAGTGTATACAGTGTGTGCTTGTATGTGTATATGATCAAGCAAAAGTCCAAACATCGGCATCGTTTTGGGCGCTTTAGGCCACTGTGCTTTGGGGAACCATCGCAAACAGAACGGCAATGGGTTTTTGTCGCAGGAAAGCCGTGATAGTCCCGAACGAATTGGTTGCTTCAATCCCCTCGTACCCGCACTTGACACACTTCAAGTGTCCCAAGATCTCTGAGCCCACTGAAGTGGATTATGTACACAGAAGGGAATGTCCACCGGCCCAGCTAGCCTTGGAAAAATATCGTTGCCTTCGTGGATAAAGCTGGTACCCAAAAGCATGGTTTGCTGTCCTGCGCTCCATTTCCGTGACGTTTGGGAGTAGAGAATCACCAAGCTACAATTTCGTTCTTATCAAGAGCCCAGAAAGTCATAAAGCATCATAAACCCAACCAAGAACCTGCTGGTTTCGTTGGAATTAGGTCTCATGCACCCCATGGAACGACTCCTTGATAGAGCGAAGCAGCTAACATGGACATAGAAGTAGGCCCCTGGATTGGTTTTTACTATTCTTCTTCTTACCAATGGTAGTAGTGCATTGGATCTTCCTGGCATCCTCCGACGGGTCAGTCTAGGTGCAGATGAGTAGGGAGACACCCTGGCCCTCGACCCTGGCTGGGATGTGCTCTACTTGTGGTCCATTGTTCCGAACCTGAATCTTGCGACACCCAAGTCTTCCCGTCCAAACCAAAAAGTTGCCACGAAAACAGGGACCCACAGCCAGGTACCGGGACTGCCCCCCCTCGACCCACGGAGAGAAACCTTGCGCTGCTCGGTGGAGAGGTTCGGCCTGAAGGAAGTGGTGGACCAGGAAAAAGGCCCACCCAGGTGGCTCAACAGAATTGACACTCAATTAGTAGTATTGTATGTTGAGCCATATATGTATTATTTATGTATATATATATATTCATATTAGTATTGTCTAGTTCGATAAAGCAAAAACTGAAGCTGCGGCGTGGGCATCTCCAGTCACACTTCAGCAGGAAGAAAGTTTGGTAACAGTTTCTCTCCAGAATCTAGTAGGATAACGGTGCCTTCCCAATTGAATTCCCTGTAGCGTTCTAAATGGAAAGGGTTGAAGGTCACATCTTTTCACCAACTCGTGTCCCGTCTGTATCTACAACCGAGCAAGTGCTGCTCCTCTTCCTCTTTCGCATTTCGTAGACCTCTACAGTATCCTCTACAGTATCCTCTATCCCGTAACCCCTTCCCCTTGGCCCCCCCCCCTTGCCACCCCTTGCCCCCGCACCGCTGGAACCGTTCCTTCCACGGTGGTTCCCACCGCCTCATCGCCGAGGCCAGGTGCTCCAGCAGCTGGGTGGACTTCTTCGCCCCTGATTCCCGGGCCGGGTCCGTTTCGGCGGCGTCGCGGAGGCCGGTCGGCCCGGTGGTTCGGTGCTTCGGTGCTTCGGATGGGTGGCCCAGGTCAGAAACCAACCCTAACTTGCCGGTGGTCGTGGTGTTGAAGCGAGAGTACACCAAAGTCCCAAACTTATCTTGGTGGTTCCCGATTCCTGAAAAAAAGAACAACAAACAACTTGGATCACCCATCGCGGGTGACCCGCCGTTCAAGTCCAACACCCAACCCTCCACCAGTGACGCTCCGTTCACGATCGTCGCCTGTTCGGTGTGTGTGCTGTGTGCTGTTCGGTGCGTCACTATCAAACTGCTGGTGGGTGGATGCTGGATGCCCGATAGGTGGTCAATGTATGACCATTCCGGGTCCAAGAATCCGCGACCAAAACCACCGCCCCTGTGGGAAGCCACCCGGTGGCGTGAACCACGCCGCCTGTGGCTTCACCCTCGGGAGCTCCTTGGGGCGAAGGAGGTGTTGGGTGTGAGAGGAGGACGGCCCTCCGAGAGGGTAAGGGAAAAGGAGGTCCCAAATCTGAGGTGAACCTTTGCATGCTTCATTCATTCATTCATTTATTTCATTTTATTAAGTTTAAATGTTAAGTTTAAATAATAAAGTAAAAACACACTCAAGACTCTTAGCTCAGTCTTTCCGGTTCAGTCTTCCTGGTTTCTTCTGCGGGGGCAAAGCGTAGTGTTTGGGGCTCAGTGTTTTGAGGGGGAATGTTGACAAACAAAAGCTTGGTCAAGAGACTGCAAACCACATCAGACCTTCCACGATCTCATGAGCTAGTGGAAAGAAGCCGCCATTCTGAATGGATGTGATGGAAAATACCTTCCCCCAGGCATAAAAAAGAAATAGCACTACACGGTCATGTCATTGGGCCAAGGTGTCTCACCTATTAAAAAGACACACACTCATTTCGCTCAATTTGCTTCTCCACGATCTGAGGCTGGGAATGTTGCACTCGTTCAGTGCTCTCCGCTACCTTCAAGTTGCTTGAAAAGCATCCTCCTTCCCCCCCAAGGTTCACGTGCGCAAGTTGTGTGGGTGCGGCACCATCCCCCCCCCAGACTCCACAGACCTACGCAGAACTACACAAAGCAAGAGTCAAAAACCAACGGATTCCACAGACCTTTTGAATCCTTCCCCCTGTCTCCCCCTCTCTCCCCTTGTCCCTATCTTCATCCAGCTGCGGGCCGCAGCCTCGGATCTCCTACCGATGGCCGGAGAGCGCATCCAAGGTAATGGGTTCCTTTTGCAATTAGGGTGGAGGCCATCGCTACTACGTGGAGGCCATCGCTATTAGTAACTAAGTTGAATTAGATCCCAATAGAGATGGCCTCCACCCAATAGCTTCTTATATCATATAAGAGCGTACCTCTGGGGTTGAACCCTGGACAACGACCTGATCCAACCGACGAGACGAACACCCAGCGAGCTCGCCTCCGCTCGTCCACACAGAGGCGTGCTGTCCGCACGTTGCTTCGACGAACGGCTTCGGCGGATCGATGACAGTTCTGAAGAGAACATGCTGCGACGATGAAACGCTGCGATGCTGCGGATGTTCTTATATACAGGGATGGTTAGACGACCTCTGGTTCTGTCCTTGCCTGCCTGGGCTCCACCTATACGCTGCGGATGTCCTTTTTTGGGGGATCTTTAGACGACCCGAAGGGTTCTGTCATATCTTCGTCCAGTTCAAAGATGCCGAGTGTTCTGCGAGCGGCACGTTACAGATCCACAGCTCGAGTCAACACATAATGTAGCCTGTTGATTGATAAACCTCTTCATAGTGTGGGGGGTTGTTGATCAAGAGTCTACATTCATACGCGGTCACCAGATGTTATATGTCCTGGGTTGTTCCACATCACCAGAGAGTGTGGCCAGTAAGGCCAGAAGGACCACAGTTTGCGGATCACTTTCAATTTCACAGCATCCATACATCCAATCGGTAATGCCCGTGATGTCTTCTCCATCCAATCCATCCAATTCCTCTTCAAATCAATAATGGCGCAGAGAGCCAAGCCCTAGGCCTTGACCTCAAATCTAAGGTGACCCTCAAACACCTTCACCCTCAACTCCATCAACCCATCGATTCACCAACTGGGACACCAGCGGCACCGAAAAAAAGAAAGAGACAACCGCGGTGACCGCTGACCGGGGAATCCCCTCTTTTCAGTCCCAAGCCCCGATCAAGTCCCAAGTCCCAAGCGTGTTTCCCCCCGCTCCTATCGGCACAAGTGCCATAGCCCACCTTGCTCGCCAGTGCCACTGCCAGCCACTTCGCTTGGCTCCAGTCCGTCAAGCACGCATCGCCTGGTCCGGTCCGGTCGAGTCGCCCGAGTCGAGTCGACGTGGACGTCCGGTCTATAGGCGAAGCGGAGCGAGCCATGACGTCGGGGCTCCGGACGTTCGAAGGTCATGCCATCCAGGGCTTTCACTTCCTGGGTCTTCGGGGTCCAGGGATGTCCAGGGATGTTTTAGGGAGGGTCCCTCAATCTTGACATGGATCCCACATGAGGTTTACAGTTTACACGAGGTTTCCATGACATGAGATATGAGGTTTACATGAAATGAGATTGTTGTACAGTTATACAGTAATACATGACAATAGTTTCATAAACTCTTGTGACTCTTGTGTCTTCCCATTCAACTGTCTACGGAATCACATGCCGGTGCATGGAAATTCCAGTGCATGACGTCTATCGCCATTGCTTGGTTTTAGACCTGAATCGCGTCGCCCACAGGGGAATCAACTAAGAAAAGATGGGCACCAGAAATCGGTCTCGCGCGCGGTCTCTTTACGAGGTGCAGAGGTTCTGCCCGGCTAAGCCAAACAGGAACGTGGGGAGTCCAAGATCTGCGTTCCACAAGAAGGACATGAACAGTGTGGGATTTAGGGAGTTTATCGAAGTCTGGAGAAGTTACGCACCGTCCTTTCCTATTCACTATGACTGTTGGATGCCAAGTCTTTCATGGTCGGCCTTTGGATGTTTTACTTTTGAGTTGACCCTGGTGAAAGCACACTTGGCTTGTGCCAACTGACCCACTCCCTACCCAACTGAGGCCCAACTGACGAACCAACTCACCCACGAACTAAGTGACTGGCTAGCTCACCAAGTGACTCGCCAACGAACTAACAAACTAACAGACACCTACTAGCTAAGACCTACTAGCTAACCAATCCAACCAACTGCTCACTTGGCTAGCCAGAGGCCTTTTTGTGCTGCTCCGAAACAGGCCCATCTTCTTCACCGCGTTCGGCCCGAACCGCCGTTCCAACCATTGGCGCCCTCCTGGCCGAATCGAAACCAAGGCTCAGGTGGAAGTTCCTCGGACTGCAGCTGGCCGAGCCGACTGGGAGGCTTTGATTCAGGACAAATCTCTGGCATCCGAAGGTTCGGAGAATTGGAGGCATCCGAAGTTGAAGGGCCTATGCAGATCTTGAAGGATTCATGAAAAGATTGAAAAAGCGAGCTTGAGGCATCTGAGTTCTTTTGCAGAACACCAAGTGCAGTGAAAGTCTGGCATCTTGCCCTGTCTCCATCACCCTAGATATCGCAAGTGCTCCCTTGCACCACCGTGATGTCAACAACCGAACCATGGCAATGAAAAGGCCTTCACATGGGACGAGCGCGTCGCGGTCACATCAACAGAAGGCCTTCGGTCACATCGGATGTGCAACAAGGCCTTCTCAAAAAGAGAATCTACATGGCATACATCCACCTTCGCTGACAACCACAACGTACCTCTGTGTTCAACTATGTCCTTGCTATTGTCTCTCATTCGTCGCACTACTTTCAAAAGGACGCCAGTGGTGTGCACACGCAAATGATGAACGACCTCCTACTGCCTCCCCCAGTTCATTCGTCGCCTTGTTTGGGAGGAAATGGACCCTGTGGGTGATGGAACTACTCACCATTCAAAGAAATCCACAAGGCCCTGGAAAAAAAAAAGTACAAGTACCTCCCATTCCTGCCATCACTTAGGCAGCATCTGTCAGTGGATCCAAACATTTCACAATGTCCGTTCACCAGGACCAGCGCTTCCAAAACACCAAGAAGTTCTGGAAGCGACTTTAGTTTGAGGATGCTTGAGCTTTGATTCCCTCTCCTAATGTCATTCTAGTCCAGCGAAGATCAGAGTAGTACAGGAAACCACCATGTCATGGAGTCTTTCTCAATCGTGGCGCTCTTCAATCAATGCCCCTGCTTATTCAGTGAATCATTCAAATCACTCATGTTTTTGGAGCCCTGCCCCTTCCTTGCTACCCAGGCGGCCCGCAGCTCCTCCTTCGGAGGTGCCTCTGGCTTGGGTGCCTACAGCAAGCATCGCATGGCTCAAACGTCGGAATAAAAGAAACGCGGAGGTTTTGGTGGAACTGGACATGGGAACCCCATGGTCAATGGGAAGAAGGTGCGCACAGACAGAAACGATGGAGCCACGGACGGAAATGATGGAGCCACGATTCACTTCCCTAATGGGAAGATATGATGGATGGTAGCTCTTTGATGTTTGCATGCTTGATGTTGCATGCCGATCCAATCAGTATTGATCGAGTTCATAGGCCATGATGGAAATCTCACTTTCAGCATGAAGTGGCAGTCGAGGGATCCCACATAGTCCTTCACTTCCCAAATACCAATAAAACAAGTGTTGATCTGCTCGCATGTTACGCTTCCATGCTTGGCATGGACGACCTATATATCTTCCGTTCGACGCCTCTTGTGAGGCTTCCAGACTTGTATGGAAACTTCGGGCCCCTCCAACGTAGATGGGTGTGGATCAAAATAGCATGACTTTGGTCCAAATCAGACTAAATCACCTGGGGAGTCAACCTACATAGTGTTGGGGCTCCAGGTTTTAACTCACAGCCATATTAACATGAGGATGCCGATGCTCCAAAACCCAAGAGGTTGGTGATTCACCACCAAGGTCCTGGCTCCCCTGCAAACCCCACAAAAGTTCCGTTGGAGCTTCCGCCTGTACCTCGGCCACGATGAGGATTCCACAATTAAACCCCTACTTGTAACATATGTAAGAAAAATATGCGTTTTCTGTCCATCACTCGGGTGGAAGTTTTCAGTCCATTTCTTTAAGTTCTATGCCCTATGCAGATTATGCAGCAGGCATCACTGCAGCGGGGGCGCGCCCCTCCACCAGCCAACCAGCTTGGTAAGTGGAAGTCACGCACGGTGCATGGCCTCATCTTCGTCCCATGCGCTTCCCAAGGCTTCCTCTCCAGCGGTGTGCCCGTTCGGCAGTTCATGGAGTTCGTCGCTGTGGCAGTGGGGTTCTTGGGGGTTGGCGGATGACTGGTGGATCAGCCAGACTGTCTGCTCCATCCTCCTGGTCTTGATTGATTGACCCAATGTCAGGAGTCAGGTTCTGATCAACACACAACCGGCGGCCAGTGCAAATCTTGGCCAACTGATCAATCCGCAGATGACTCCACGGCGCAGGAAGCCCAAGCTCAACATGTTTCATTGCACAGTGCGTGGCGGTTTCTTTTGCCGTACCCGGCGGGTGGGGGCGGTGTAACCTGGTGAAGGACGACCCATATCGAAGACCCATATCGACCCAAGTCCCTTTCACGGGTTCCTTCACACCTTGTTTGCCGTGTTCACCGTTGTATCCCGGGCAAAGCAGGGTTGCCTCCTCCAAAAAGCTTACTGTAGGGCCTGGTTACCTGCCTGACCTGCAAATCCATTAAAGGTGCAAACCTGCAACCACGCGTGATCCCTTTGATTCAAAGAAGTTTTGAGATCAAAGCATCCCGTCTTGTATTGTTTCAAGTACGGTGTGTTTCTTTCGGGGAATTTTGGTTTCGAGGCCATCTTGATTGCTGCCATCAAGGCGGATCGAAGGTTCCATGTGACCGTCCGCATGTTGGATATGGCGGCGATGCATCGCCTTGACTCCTCCGAAGACCCCTTTGCAAGGCTATCTTCACTGACCCGATGCGACCGGAAGTGACCTACGCACCCGTTGTCCCCGGTATCCCAAAGACGCCGCTCTTAGCTCCTTTGCTCGTTGGCCCGTTGGCCCGCCTTGTGCTGTTCCAGCTCCGCTTCATCAAAGATGAGCTCGAGAAGCACCAAATAGCCTCAGTGATTTCAACCCACCGGAACCCTCAGCTGGGCCCTGCTGGGCCGCTGAACTGCCTTGTTGATTGGGAAGTTGGGAGCTTCATGGCAGTCGCTTGGGGCAGTCGCTTGGGGCCCGCGGCTCCGGAGTGAAACCGGGAGGGGCTCATGTGTCTGGTTACTGGTTCTCCAGGTCCTAAGCCAGCACTCACATGATAGAGAAAGGACTCTGCTTCAACCCCTGTTGTGGCTTGCTGATGGGAACTGGAGGAGTGATGAGGAGTCTGGATTGCTCCGAGTCCCAGCACTCATGCAGCACAATGTGCTTGTCATGCAACATCCTCCTCATTGCATATTGCATGTCATCAATAGCTCGATGCATAAGTCTATCCCATTGTGGAGCAGACTGAACATGGCGTTCCCTCCTTGCTAGATTCCCTGGCTTTGTTGGCTTGTAAGAAGTGGAGGAAGGAAGACAAGTGCTCAACATTGTGGCGACATGTGACGGAATTTTACCAAAGACCTCTCATCCAAACCATTTCTGCTGAAGACCACCCATGGGTCCCGCAGTTTTCCTTTGGCGACCTGTAGATCTTGAGCACTCGGTGGTGGCGCCCAAAATCATCCGTTGAGGCGCTTTCCAAGGCTTCCAAATTCTTCTCCTCGGAAACAACCGCTTTGTTCCAAGCCCAGAGACCCAGGTGGGGGTTTGTGAATGGAGGGTTTTTGTGCCCTTTTAGGCAGGAAGACTCGGAATGACACGCACCGTGGTGAGAACATGACGCGCGTCGTCACTGTGGTATCTGGACACCCTGCGGAACGATCGAATCGGGGGCGTCTGGAACCAAAACGCAAGAAGTCCCCCAAACACAGGATGAATCTCAGTGGATGCCGCTAGGGATTTGCCCATCTCATCTCCCAACAAAAAGATTATATATCTTTATGTGTCATGGAATCACGCATTAAGAAAAAGAAGAAGAAGAAGAAGAAGAAACACACACACACCAAAAAAGAACAGTGATCCAACCGTTGATTTGAGACAAAAAAACACCACGTTCCACGTGGATGGACCCACCCGTCGCCGTCGCTCTTCTAGCGTTGCTCAATTGACCGCCCGGTTCCAAGCGTCCAGCAGGGTGAAGCCAAAGGTCTCACCTCAACGCTCCGGAGCCGAAGGTGGAGCCGAGGCATCGCTTCCGAATGAATCAAAACTTAAGTTAATGGGTGTTTTTTACATAAGAACACACACAGGTTGAGATGAGAGGGTCACCTTAGCTTCATTGGGTTTTTGTCCGATGCCCAGCCGAGTTGACCCAGTTGACCCAGGCACGTCCTGTCCGATCAGCTGAGGAGTGCGTGTGCTCAATTTGATTCTATGAGTGAATGGAGCAAATCACTCAAAATAAAGTAGAAGTGAAGATGCTCGATCGATGCTGCTTCACTTTGGGGGGTAACAAAGCCTTCCAACCGGTGATGGCATAACCAACAAGCACAAAAAGCACACACCAACCTTGCAAAGCCTTGAGTCGGCAATCGGGAGCACTTGTTCAACGATTTGAGTTGCAGCATGGCTTCTATGGAAGGCACATTCGGTGCTGGTATTGCTATGTCAACAGTTTGACACCACCAGCATCACGACAAAGTCATTCACGTTCAGAAGGCACACTAGAGGTTTGTTGTCCTCAGAATTCATTTCCCGTTGCAGAAGCAGCTGTACTGTTCATATCTGTTGCCTGTATGCTGATCTATGCCCAACACACAACACTGACATCCAGCTTTGGGTGTGTAGTGGACTAGGAAGATTTGCCAACCACTATGATAAAGAAAAACTCGAGCGTCCCAGCAAGGCCTATCTCCAAGTCACCTGCGGTTGGTAGGTGAGCACTAGCTCGCAGAGCCCAACTCTTGCCCTCCTTGCAGACCTCAGCCAACTAAGTGCGGAGCAAGTCATCCAATTCTGAGGAATCTCGGGCCCCAACACACGTGGCAATCCTAAGATAGGATGAGGAAGATGTTTAATGGGGTTGATTGGGGTTGTATGTTAATAATTTTTAATCGGGAGACCGGTAACTAATGGGCGTTGGTCTATGATTGCGGGTTTTCAGGGGTCTTTGGGGGTCTCCATATTCAAAAACACCTCCATATGTTGCCTGCTCTGACAGCTTTGGAAGAAAACTGGGGAATGACCCGACCCACCTCAGAGATTCCCTACCAGGTCCCACCGCCTCGTTCCTTGCTCGGTCGCACCCCTTCACCGCGGCCGCGGGACGGTGATCGCCATCTCTGTGTCGCGCTGACACTCGGCATAGAAGCACGCCAGGTTCACGAACCTTAAGCCCACCACCACGGGTGGGTCAAGAGCGATGACGATT